CAGTTGTCCAAATTCCGCCAAGGGTAGATTGAGTGGATTCACGTAGGGATTGCTCTAAATAAGTTGGCACACGGGATCAATGTGCCTACGTCAACCATCATCAACGGTCATCAACTACTGTCTACCTTATAAATGCATCATTGAAATGGCTACGTTGGGGCTCTCTCCTGTACTTTGTAGCAAACAACTTCACCCAACAGATGACAGGATCATTCAAACCATGCAGGTTATCTGAGAGAAGACGACCAACACCACTGGTGCCCATGATGAACCATGTCCTGGTGCACTTGAAGCCATACGTAGTTATTCGCGTAGACTTCAACCTAAGAGTCATTTGATTCGGTTAAGATCACAAATTCAACGCAATTAAGCCTATATCTTCGTTTCTACCTGGGCACCGTAGACGTTTAATGTGTCGTCCGAACTGCTTTTTTGTTCTCGGTATTCAACGTGCCCCCTGCCTATTAACTGTTGTTTTCTCAGCAAGTCAAACCTCGGGACTCTGTGTAAATCGTTTTCTTTATATCGCATATCAAAACCCTATATTCGAACTCTTAACACTTGTGGTCAACTTCCGCAATTTCATTGCTGCTCGCATGTGCCGCATTTTCATCAAATTTTTACAGTTTTACATGTTTTCTCTGCCCGATTACTAACATTATTTTATCACTTTCTTGTACTTTTTCTTTTGGAGCAACTTTCTACCTGAGTGGTTCATTAGGATTTCCAATCTTTTGGACTTTTTTGCTATTGTCTTTCGTTTTACAGGTTCTCAAAGGCATATTGTCCGAGCGCGTTGATCAACCTTGCTCTCTTTCCGTGAATGACCGGTTTAGGACGGTGGCAATCGGGATGGCGAAGTGAGTGCCCACTCAGGAAACTGGCTTTTTCTTATTTTCTGGCCTTTTCTCCATAGCCACTGATCATATATATGGTTGGCGGCATCCGGTTTCGGATTTGTCTATCATTGTGGCCAGCCACAGGACGCCTGCGCCTACTGAGGGACCATAGGTGGCTTGCGCTGCACCACCCACAGCTCCAACCACACACCCCATATCCAGTGTAAACCCGAAGGAATAAGACCGGGAGGTATATTTGGGAATCGTGTTTGGGAAGCAAGCGCATGCACAAGGCGGTGGCTGGACCGTAGTCCGCTCCACGCTGAGTGTATGGAACCACTCTTTGATTTTTACACGACCACAAGGACCGTGCACCCCGTCCCCTCCAACAAGGACCAACTGTCTCCTGGAGCCAGTATGGACGAGGTAGTGGATAATAGGCAGGTAGGCACCTTGTCAACATGCATATCAAGCGCAGGCACACACGGGTATATCAAGCAACTGCTATTCACTTTAAACGACAAGCTGAATTAAAATAAATACAATGATGCTACAGGTACGGTGGCATAACTGCTAAATTACCATATGAAGTAAGTTGGTTAGCAACGAATCCGCGATATGTAAGAAATGTCCATAAGTTAGTTAAAAATGCTACAATCGCAACAAAGTTGCCGAAGATAAGCGCAATTGGCGTAAGCAATGTGGCCAGTTAATAGAAGATTAGCAGGTAGGCAGAACAAACCAAATGAAAAAAACGTAGAGCCAATAAAACCATAGAAATTAGCGGATCACAGGTAGACTCGACGCGTTATCATTACCTTTGGACATTTGTTGTCAGCTATAGTGCCGCCGGAAGGAAACTTTTTTGTTACTTTTTCACACACACCAATCTTTGTTTTTTTCAATGTCAGGCTTTTAGAATCGGAATTTTAACAAGCATGTACCCAGCTTTACCCGTTTCGATTGCGCTCCAAATCCCGGGCGATCGGCACTGTTCGTCCTTAGGTCCCTAACAAGGCAGGCATGAAGTCAGTGATTTCACTTGTTGCCACCAGGTGGATGGTTAATCCCCGCCTCTAGCTAACGTGTATAATGTTTGGATGGATGACCCCCGCGTGGTCTCTTCGCTTTGACTCCTGCACGAGCGAACAGGGTTCGGTGAGGCAAACGCTCAGCCTACATACGCAGAACGTGCCCAAGCCATCTTAAGTGGGGTCATAAAACCAGGTTGTTTAAGGGAATACTGGCATTTCCTTACAACACGATGTCTTACGTCTAATTTTTTCCTTTTATCTACGGAGGTTTTTGACTTTTCAGCAGTCTAGATTTGGACAATGGCTCTCGAACCACAACCCAGCGCTTATACATGCTATGCTGACTACTATGTATTGCGCACCGAATTGTGGTGACCTATATGTGAATTTATCTTCTCTTTTGTCGAGTAGATCCTCCGACATATATGACCCACTCTTCTCTTGCCAACTCATTGCTCTCATTAACCATTGGCTGAGTTCTTCGGGCGCCTGATTTGTATTCCACGACGTGCGGATTCGACCTTGTGTAGTTGGTGCAGATGATTTCACATTATCCCCCTACCCCACACGCGGCTGCTGGTGGTCGCGTTACAATGACGATTCAGTCCGGCGTACTGCCCATGCTACGGTTACTGGCATCCGGGGTTTTCTGGGCTCCAGTCACTAGGTTTACGCCGCTATACTGTCTTTCAGTTCGGTTCAGTTCAGTTGAACGACTGTGATCCGGGCACCGAACTGTGGTGGACCCGGTTGCCACGACTCATATCGCAATAATAACAATAAATAACAACGGCAAGATACCGTCTTTCACAACCTTAGTTTTCTCTTTTATCTCAGCTGTTTGTGATCCATATTCGGAACATATGGTGTATTGTGCAACCATACATAAGCCTGTTTGAATGAATCCCGTTTTATCTGCACGATTAGCTATTTCCCTATTCGAGGTGTCATTGCACCACTGATTAACACGCCCAGTTCCCTGTCAGGAACTATGCCCACAAACCATTCCACTCGCGACACTGATCGAGTCCGCTGTGCATTTCGTCCACTCGGTGTATCAACAAAAACCTAACTATCAATCTATCCCTTAATCGCTATTGGCTAAGGTTTGTTGTGTTGGTATTATTCTTTTTCCAGCTATTTTTTCTGTCATGCTTCCCTTGATCATCCTTTGCACTACTACTCTTAACCTCCTCCTAGCACCGACGTCGCGTTATATCGAATGGACGAAACCAGCGGGGTCATCCTCGTCCATCAGCATATCCGCATCTCAAACCGGGAGTACCCAGGTAAGGAGTGCGCTCGGTTGATTTTCCATCATGCCATGACTGTATAATCAGTTTTTAACCTCATTTTGCATCAGATACCCCTCTGTGTGCTGATTTGTATCTTCTGCACAAATCTATCATTTCGGGAATCGTCTGCATTGTGTGTGCATTCCGTCTGACTCTTGTAGAGCTCAAACCCACAACTCGACTGGTACCAGTCTGTGGTTGAGACCACGGAGCCGTGGGGAACGACAACGCTCGTTGTGACTAAGTTACTAGACGTGATATAGCGCCGCTCACTATCCACAGACTTGCACCTTACTGCCGTGCAGAGGACACGACAGCACCCTCACGAAGCGACGAACTTGCCAAAATTAGACCCGCCAATTGACATTTGGTATTATAAACAGTTTCGTTTTCCTGCGGATTACCTTACTGAATGGTGTAGGTATGGATTCATGACATCTAAACTCAGTCAGACAGCCACCACCTATTGATAAGCCTGCACTCCATCTGACCCTACATGAGTCAGATAGACTGCACACTGCTGACGATTCCCGAAAGGATGAAACGGCCGTACATTGCTTTTCTGGACGTATTTTGGCTGTCTGACTGAGTCCAGGTGTGATGGATTTCTATCTATTCCATTAAATTCGGTACGATTTTTCCTCAAAATCCACCCATGTTTGTGAAACTTGTCATAAATTCAAACCTAATGTGCTTTCAGTACCCTGTATTTAGGCTTGTAACATCATCAGGCATTATCCTCCATTGGTTTTACTGCTTCCCTGGCCTTTTCCTGGACTACTACTTTTGACATGATCTATAAAACACATTTCTAGATGCAGTGGATTATCTAGAGATTCTTTACTAGATTTGATCATTTCTAGACATCTTCATCCACTTCACAATATCCTTACAAAAATCTGATCTTTCTCTTCTACGCGTTCGAAATTTAACATTTTCTTCTCCCGCACTTCATCGCATCATAATCTTGTCTTGCTTTTCCATCATGTTTGCGTGTAGGCCCCATGATAGTAATGAACATGCTGCGCGAACGGTTGTTGGAGCGGCAGTTGTGCATATGTTCCATTCTCTCCTCACTTATGGATTTTATGTTGATATTATCACCAAGGATACCTGCAATGGTAATGCAAATGCTGAAAATGACCCCATTATGACTCATAAACCTTACTTTTGCTCGGCTCGACTTGAATCCCATCATTGAATACATCATCATTGACTACACTATCATTGACTATCCCATCATTAACTACATCGACCGTATATATCAGAGACCTGGTTAGTTTTCCATGAACAGATTAAACGATTTGCCATGTTCGATCACCGGTACTTACGGAGTGTTGTTCACATCAGGTAGAAACACCGGGTGAGCAGTGCTGAGGTCCGCCAGTTGGTTTTTAAAAAAAAGCCTTCTGGTTCCACACCCGGGTGTTTGCTTAAGTCCACCTGTTTACCTTACTTAGCTTATGTCCACCGCAAACCAGTTGATCGACTTTTTCGGCGTGCATTATATACCTTCGCTACACCAAGTTGGGCGAAACCTGTGGGTGGCCAGTCCATGAGGTGGCGCAAGGGCACGAAGAAACTGACTGAGAGATTTGGTCAGACTGGTGTGTCGTCTTCGTGGATGGGGGCCCCGGGCTGGTTCAAATCATTGACTGGATACCCTACCAGACAAGGCACAATCACGCGGTCGGGGGCGTTCCTGCATTCAATTTCTGCTATCTAGCTATTAACTTTAATCCCATTTCGCTTAGGTTTACGCACCTCCTCGATTCCGTTATTTTTACACTCTATCTGCATTAGATCTACCGTTGTTGTTTATTGTTATTCTGGCGACATGAGTCATGACAATTGGATCCACCGCACTTCTTTTCCCGAGCCGTAGTTATTCAACTAAACTGAACTTACCGTTTGTTTTGGAATACGTGTGTCAACTGTGACCATGTACTAGTTCGACGATACTAGTTTTTCGTGAACCTCGCATGAGACTCATTTACCGATCCTTTCTGTGGGCATTCAAAATGCTGTCCCGGTTTTCGGTTATAGCATGTTTTGTTGACCATGGTTTCACCGTTCGCAGAATACATGCAGTTTCGACGGGACATCAGTTGTACTGCTTTGCATAGTTTCGGGGCTTCTTTTTGTGTCATAAGCTTTGGTCGCAGCATCACGCACTGGATGTCCCAGAACCAGGCGAGTCTGCTGGAATCCGAAATAAGAATCCCCACTGAAACTGAGCGTAATATTATGAGGCAGGATATTCAGCGAAGGCTAACCAAGTATTGGCGGGCTGCGAATTGATCTGGAGGATCCAGGGATCTCAGGAAAAGGAGGACGGCGAAATGTTGGGGAACTATCACAGGCTGTCTTATTTATCACACGCTACTGGTCCTATGAAATCATCCGTCAACTATTTGATCGCACACAGCATCGACACACTACTTCATAATAACAGACATCGCCTGACTAGTTGGCCTAGACATTACCATTAACACTTCTAGTGAATTTTTGCCTTTGGACCGCTTCGAGCTTTGGTGGCACAGACTGATTCATGTTCATTTTTGCTTTTCTGAATCTAGGTACTAAACGCGACACCATCTCCTAACTACTCTCACACTGCTTTCTGGGTCCTCATGTGTCCTCCTATTTAAGAATGGAGAGTTTTCGGTGCTGTTCTCTCCCAACACCATTCTACACTCAGTTTCGCGTTTATGTAGACTCTTCGAGTAGAGATAGCGGAACACAACACGTAGTGGTCAACCGCTGTGACATTATCATCGGGTGATTCAGCTCCACGAACCTCACGAAAGGTCTTATTGGTCTGTTCCAACATGCATGAATGGAGGTGGCTGTCTCAGCGCCAGGTTTGCATTCTTAACTTCATAATTAGCCCTGTTATTGACCTCCATTCTAGCTCGCTGTTCGTTTGGAGAATTCTAATTCTTTGTAAACTGAGGGTACACATGTTTCCGAACTTGACTAGGTTGCGTAGATTGTCTTTTCTCTATGTTAGCATCGCTTGATTAGCATCATATGCAATCGCTCCACTCGGCCACTTCAACCTGTTCGACATACATGCAAGGTTTTTCCTACGAAATATGTGAACGTTTGACTTGCTCTATGCTCTAAAGACTAAATTTTGTTCAACGGATGCTTCGCTTTGTCTGGCGCTTTTCCGACGACAAGTGGCATTCCCCGGAGCTGTCTTATTTCCTTCATTTTGTTCACTTTGTCATGCGCTCCATCATAGAGTGCTCATTTGTGGGGTTTTGAAACACAGATATATTGCTGTGCTGCCGACAATCATTGGAAGCCCCAAACATCCATCTCAAGCTATTTGGAGTGATCCCCTCTACTTGCTGTGCGCCTGCATAACACTTGATGTTGCATAACAACTGACCGCCTACTAACCCTGTGCTCCTTGCCAACGAACAACGAAAGATGGACGATTAATCCGGTGATCATGGCGTCCACATTAACTGGCACTTGACTGGTGAAGTTAGTTCATATGTGGTAGTGAACCTAGAGATTTCGTATAGTGGCACCCCACCGCCTTCTCGCAACCACGAACTGTGCACCGCGGATGAGTACCAAGCAGTGATGGTTAAGTGAGTTTTCCATTTTAACGGATTGGACGGAATAGCTTGCTTTGGTCCGGATGAGTTCTCACACCCTCGCTCCAGCCTCTAACTACATGAGTTTCCAGGGTGCCCATCGCGTGGACCAGACAACTGGGAATCAAATATATGATCATTAGACTGTCGTCAGTCCGTCTCTATTTCCAAGCTTTATTCCTAGCACGAATCACTCTTTATATGGGTGACCACAGGATTTGACACAACCGGTACCAGGGGCGTGTTTCTCGTCTACTTTTAACCGGACTGTCTTTTAAGGTGTACTTGGCGTCGAGCTGACTGTGGTGTAATCTCATTGATAACATGAACAGCATAGGCTGAAATGAGGGTGGTCTGCCGATCTTGTGTTGTCTTCACCCAGTTGTTATCTGTTGTGATCTTGCTCCCCGATCTTTACCCAGGTTTTGCACTGTTCTCTCCTCTAATTCACATCCCAGATGCTTCCACTTTGGTGGGTCCCGCAACACATCTCTCCTGGTCACCAGATGGATATTGCCTTGCCATCGCTTGGAAGCACTGCGGTTGGGCTCTCTGTTCTGTGTTCGGGGCTTTGCTTCATAGCAGCTTGGGGGAGCACATTGGGCTGACGAATCGTGTCCGGCTTTCCCACTTGGTGAGCTCGCTTTGTTTTGTGTTTTTGAGAGTCAACTGTGCGTGTCGGTCTGTTTTGCTTATCTGGCTCAACATACGAATACGTTTCTTTGCCACCTTGTATCCGTTAATCTTGTAATACTAGTCGCATCCATAGCTATTCCGTCCGGCGATCATCTTGATCCCCCCTCCTCTGCTCTCATTAAACCTACACAACCAATGGATTATTCGGAAGGACTGACTATTTACAAGGGGTTCAGTAATAACCTGCTTGCAGACAGTACTTTTCTCCTTTGAGCGGCCATCGATTACATCGTCCGAGCTGACTATGGAGTCATTCAAAATTTAACGGAAGAAATCGTAGCTCTAGGGGCCAACCCCATCTTTTTCTGCACTTTATCAATGTGCATGACGGTGGCAAGTGAGTCACACTACGTTGCAACCAGTAGTCACCGTAAACTAGTGGTTTCAGCCTTCTATCTCGAGACCGGATAGTCTTAGACTCGAAACCTGCGGGGACACGCACTGCTGATTGGTCCAATTAGGATGAAACAACCGTCCGTCGCTCTCCCTGACGTACAGTGGCTGTCTGCTTGGGTTTGACCAGGACGAATCCTCTCAAACCTATCCACTATGTTACTTACTTGGCGATTCTATTTGGATTTTGATGCCATCGTTTTGGACAGCCGAGGACACGATTACTATTAGTTTTGTAATTCTTGTTTCACCGTGCTGAATTACGTGTTCTGCTAGTACATTCACAGCTAGTATAGAAGTATATTAATCAGGAAAGTGCCAATAGCTATGCTGACCAATTTAATCATATCGCATCTGTCCAATATCGATTCCGCATGCATTACTGTCGATTCTTATCGTACAAATTTGAATGTTTCCCTACACTAGAAAAGCCACCATATTAGACTTCCTTGTCTCACACTCTCACTGCACTACGACTGGTCTGGTTCCTCTTGGTACGCTCCAGAGGAGAAAATCCGACCTGCAAGTTGAACACATTATGTACAGATGCATTAACCCCACGCCACCAAACGCTTCGGGAACACTTGTCATAACGATTATCATTGTTGGAGTGTTTGGAGGGCCCTCTGTTTATGTGAATTGCGGTACAAAATTTCATTGTGGACCAGGGCTCATTGCGGTTTCAATTTTGTACTTAGTCCCTCCTGAATTATATCTCTCACCTTACTAGTTGCTCTTTGTGTTACCATTTTAGGTGTGGTCAGCCGGTGGCTGTCAGCTGTTGTCGTTTCTCTCCTTCTTGGACCCGAAGAAAACACCGCCCCATTGCGACAGAGCAGCTTTGACTTACAAAACGACCGATGGTGAGTGTGACTCACCATTGTTCGAAGACGGGGTCAAGGACAATGACCTTGATGCACATCTAGTCATGTTTCGCGTGGTGCGATCGGCTCTTACCACCAACCCGACGCTAGTAAGTGCAGCCATTACCCCTCTATTCGTGAATTTCTATACCAGTGGAGCTACAAATTCGATTGTCGAAGAGCTGTAGAGGGATTTCAGTGAGTTAGTTGCAATTCACCACAACCGAATCCAGCCGCGTATTTATCGACCTACAAAGAGTTGCAAGAGAGCGGTTTCATTCTTCCGTGACGTTCATTCTGTCCGCAGTGCACCTGGGGCCCTGACCCAACTTTGAGAACATAAGCTTAAACTCTGACTCACAACGGTTCGCTAGTCGATGTGGCTAAGTAACCAGCTTTGCTATATCATTACTCAGGATCCTTTGACTTGCAGGTCACTGACCTACTGAGGACAGGGCATTTCTTCCGGATAATGAGTTTTTAAAATTAAGCCACCGACCACTCTGACATTATAGAGGGTTTTAGTATGAGGGTAGCAAATGGCTGACTCGTTAGATATAGCACATGCACTGCATCGTCGCTGCAATATGATTAGGGAGTGTCGGTTCTCATATATTCGACAGTGTTTTTATGTGTTATCATACTTTTGGTTGCTGTCACTCTAAATTTGGATGAGGTTGCCCCCTCAATAGTGGACTAAAAAACGCTTTTCGTAGCTAGAGTAGACGGGGTGCACGATTCTCGTGGTCGTGTTAGGCTCAAAGGTTTCATCCAGCGTGGAACAGACTGTAGCCCAGCCACCACTGGCATGCATATTTCCTTCTGTTCAGATGAATGATGTGCTTACTGAAGGAGCGTGGGCCGGCTCCAAATCAATTGTGACTTCCATTCACATGCTTCCCAGTCTAGTTTACATTAGATATGGAGTCTGTAGATAGCGCTATGAATGATTCAGAGCAAAGCACCCTTGGCCACCCCTCTGTTGGCAATGTGATTAAGTAATCAACCCTGTTCTGTCGCTACTAGATCCCTACTGGCTTGCTGAATGCAAAATAGCCCTTTTTAGCACCGGCTTGCTAAAAATAAGCCTTCAATCACTCCATGCCATAAGTAGTTTATACAAATCATTGTTTACAAAAGTCGCAGATGAGGTTGCGCTGGTTTCATACGCTGTTCCACAACTATTGACTTTTACACGTCGGCTACAGGAATGCATTGGAATACAGTGGCTTGTGTCTGTGTGCAGAAACTGGGCCACGGCTTCGAGCCCTCACAGGGTCTAGGGAGTGTGCACTGCCCACGAATTCCGTATCGATGAAGCCACCTTCTAGTGCCTATATGGGTATTGTAACAAATTCCATCTACTTGTCTATTAGTCAACGCGCCTTTCTAAGACTGGTTTAACTTTCTTTGTGTCATTCCGCCATCTTTTTAATTACACTTACTCTTCACTGTGACATACAACACCATCTTTTTTATTACCGCCCGTCTATTGTGAACACGACGGTTTGCTATAACGATACACTTCATGCTCGATAGTAACATATCAAACTTCTTAGGAGAAGCTTCTCCTCGGTTCCCTATCCGATTGCTTGGTGATCTGTGGCATCGACTGGTTAGTGCGAGATTAGCCACACAGTCAGTTTACAAAAAGTGAAACAACACCATTTCTTCTCTCTCCCGATCTCGCACTATCTTTCTCCACTTTAGGACAACCACCGTCACGTGCTACTGCAAACGGTTGATCGAATCATATACTCCAGTCGTTCACAGTTAACGCTTTCTCGGAATCCGCAAACAATACATTTGCCCCTTGTGTACCTTCGGCAAAACTATCCTCCGCAAGTAGGTCTTTCTGCTTGCTACTTCTTCTCTTTTACGTCACTTTTTAGCGCAAATTAACACATGTGTGTACTAATCATTTCTTCGCCTTCTAGTACGTGGCCGCAAATGCCGAGGGAGATCGTATCGCTGTAGCTGGAAAACGCGGATTCACTCATTACTGCTGTACCACAGGTCGATGGTACGTCTTCGGCAATGAAGTGCAGGTATGCAGCGTTGCTGTTTTTACCTTTTGGGCTTGCTTTTATGCTTCTTGTTCTTCGTGGTCCAAAACACTTATTGCTACCATGAGATGCAAATGCCGAACCAAATTGGAAACCAATGGGAATACAAATTCTCATAACTCCATAGGAATATGAAAACAATATCTGTCACCTGTCAATACTCTAATCGTTTTTCAGTTGGACTGTTGTGCTTCGCATTGCCGAAGAACATACCGTCTATCTATTTTTACGTTAAACTGTCCGATTCACGATCGTGACTCACAGTTGTGCTATGCGATTGCTAGTGAGCAAGGGTTCTCCCAACCCCATAGTGACGAGATGTATATCCAGCAGCGTTTTGTATTGCTTCACAGGTTTGGCCTCCCGGTACGTGATCTGACAGAGTATTCCGTACACTGACCAGTCGCCATTCACAGCACAGGGGGTGGACGATTAACCTCAGGTCTAGTATTACAAGTCTGTACGGGTACTCGTATGTACCTGTACCCCTGCGTGGAGCAGCAACCTCAGCATGAGGAAGCACCTAGAGATCATGTTAAGGTCGACTCACACTCGATGGCAGAGCAAGGTGTACAGTCCGCATTCCTCGCACAGGTCTTCATGTGAACTGGAAATGAGTCTGATAACGGCATGTTGGACCCGTTCGATCTTCTGTTCCTCATTCCGGTTGATCGAGAAATAGGCGGATGAGCCGTATGTTAGCATTGGCCTTATGATGGTGATGGAGACGCGTGTCGACATCCTCAAGCCCAGTACAAAAACTGCGTTTGAGCGCTTATCACAAACCAAGACCGGTTTCGTCACGTAGGTATAGTGGCATTGCCATCCGAACTTGGAGCATGGTGATGTTAGCCCAGGCCCCTACTCCTAAACTACGTAGTCACAAAACACTAGGCGGCCGTTTCACCCCTACGGGAATCGTTCGTAGTGTGCGTTCCATAAGTTCCGTGCGAGGTTAAAACGCGCGACTCTACGCCTATTCGTCCGTAGTTAAGACCACTGATCAACCACGTAGCTACTGCACTTCAAGTCATGCTGCGAAGTTCGCTAGCTGTTTACCCAATTCAGTCTGGGTTTTATACAAGCACACAAAACTGTAACGGGTTTACGATTGGACTCATTTTCATGCTGTTTCGAATGACGTTTCCAACTATAGGAGCACAAGTTTGGCGGCCTGGACAATCCACGCATGTTCGAGCGTTGAAGTCAGCATTGTCGCTCCAGAAAGATCCTTGTGCTTTTTGACTGGCCTGCTTTTGGGGAATTGGACGACCACACAACGCTGGCGCACATAGGAGTAACATTCATGGTTTGCGCTACGGCATCGTCACGCATTTATATTAGTTGATACCTCGTGTGTGAAGCGTGCTAGTGGGAACCAAGGTTGTTCCAGTGTTGATCTACGCTGATCCAACATGCATCACTTATGCACGGGCAGGTGCTTCCAGGTGATTGCATCCCATGGCTATGCCAACGCCCGCTGGCACTTAACTGTTTATGGTTCATCCTGTAATGCTCACGCGTGAAACGGTTCCGGAGCATCTTTTCTTGACAGCTGCGTAGGCCCTGATGCATGCTTTGACCGTTGAGCACATTTCGTGCGTCTGATGTGTCTTTATGAATCTGTGACATCCGACGACATGGTGTCCTTAGGCATCCGTTTCACCACCAACGATCACTCCCTCTTTATTTGTGGTCATTTTAATGATTCTTGAGACTCGGTTGAATTGGTCCTTGGCTAACTGTGATCTGCGCCCACTTGGGACGTTTACTGTAGCAACGCACTTGTGACTTTGAGCGAACTAGATATCCATCCGTATCCAGGTGGTTGTTCACTGAGACACTTTCCAGTAGATATTTTTAGTATCCAGGTTCATACCGATGAATCAGCTTGCTGGCGGACGATCCACAGACTGCCGAAAACATTTTGAACCGCTTAACAGTCAATGCATGATGCATATTTCACTCCATCCAAATATAAATCTTTGCCTCAGGATTAACAAGCACCTGTGCCCACGCTCACCATTTCAGGTGACGGCTTAAAGCAGCTTAATGGTTTTCCTTACCCCGGAAGGTGCTTCACAGCTTATGCCAGTGTTGGAGATGAATGTTCACAACGGACTAATAAAACTCACCTTCATCTATCCACCTAAATCACTTGTGGTGTCGTCGCCATTTTAGCCTCCACTGTAAGGGCAGATTGTACAATGCTATCGGCCTTGTGATTCTCCTGTATAGCTTCAAGGCCTGGCCTTTTCGTGCAGAAGATTTGGAGCAGCTGTTAGCTTTCGATGATGGCCGCTTACAAACAACCGTTCACGTATACAGCACTGTACAAGCAATACGAAAGTTAGAAGTCGAGTACTCGAACTGAATAGTGTCTGACTTCAGGGCATTATGCTCCAACAGCGTTTGCATTACCTCAGCCACTTACTGGGCATGCCAACCTCCATCGCGCATTACTCGCACTTTTCGGGTGCGGTCAGTATGCAAAGGAACACTAAGAACTCTATCTCATATTTAACAACAGGTGGATATGTCATCATCATCATACACATTAGCTAGAGGTGGGGGACACCTCAGCTACTGTGCCGCAATACATAGAAAAAAGGAGAAAAAGCAACTGGTGCAAAGCCGGCTGAGCTACCGGTAACGGATGAGCATCGTTCCTGTAAGCTACCAGCCGGCTACTGTGCATCAAAAAATTACTATGCAAAATTATATAACGCTAAATGATGGGATCGTGGTTGGAGGGGGAGGCTAAGAGGGATGGGGTGGGACAAGGAAACTCACAGCACGAACGCCACTGAGGTCGGCTCTTAGCCATATCAGCAAGTGTGTCCAAGCAAATGTGTTCATCGTCTTTCGGACCCCAACCAGGGAGCCGGGACGCTCCAACCGAGGCCAGCTCCGAAGTGAGGGCCTTCATTCCTCTGGACCAAGTCATCGCTTGGCCACACCTCCTCTTCTTCCATCCACACCCCCGGCGCGCAAACAACGCAGTCGCTGGAGTCCGTGGGCTGGCATGCGTAACACGTGGCCGAGCCATCGGAGGCTGGTGCGTGAAATAACGGTGCTGAGCGGTTCATTTCCTTTTCCTGTGCCATAAACAAGGCGTCGAACACGCTCGTTGCTCACGCGGTGTTCCCACCAGATGTGAGCTAAATTGCGAAGGCACCGGTGGTCGAACGTAGCTTGCCTCTTTATGTCCGTTGCTTTAAGGAGCCAGGTTTCACAACCATACACTAGTGTCGAACATACTGCTGCATTGTACACTGTACCCTTCAGGGCAAGAGTGATGTTGCGCCGGTGCCATAAGTGGCGAAGGTTAGCAAAAGCGCCCCGATCTTTTGCTATACGGTTCGTGATCTCATTTCCAATCCCACGGGCGCTGATACAACTTCCCCGGTAGTTGAATTTTTGAACGACTTCTAGCTGGTCCCCACCAACGGTCAGCGTAGGAGGCGGTCCAGGCCAATCTTGGAGGAACGCTTAGAACTTCGATGGTGCGAAGCAAAGCCCGAAGTGACGGACAGCTAGTGCTAATCTGCCCAGTGCCGCTTCGCACGTCCGGGAGCTGTCACAGATTAGGGCAATATCGTCAGCATACTCCAAGTCAAGAAGTCGTTCTTCTGGGAGCAGATCCACACCTTCCAAGTCGTGTCCTGTGAAGATGATTTCCATGACTTCGTCAATAGCGAAGTTGAAGAGGAAAGGTGACAGCGTGCATCCTTGTCTCACACCGCTGGAGATATCTAAGGGCCACGACAGTTTGCCGTAAACCCTCACTCTGCCCGAGCTACGCGTGTATAATGATCGGATAATATTTACATATTTCTCAGGTACACCTTTCCTGAGTAGACAGTCCCAAAGGGCACATCGATCCACCGAATCGAATGCACCTTTGATATCGAGGAACACGACAACGGTGGGCCGCCAATATATGTGACGGTGCTCTAACAACTGACTAGAGGTGAAGATGTGGTCAATACAGCTACGACCTCGACGAAACTCGGCTTGCTCTTCACAAGTCTGGCTTTCACGAGTGCCAGTCAGTCTGTGAAGGATGACAGAGGCAAGCAATTTGGAGGCGATGGAGATCAGACTGATTCCTCTGTGGCTGCCGCATTCCGATTGTGAGCGTTCTTGGAAGATGGGAACAATAACGGAGCGGCTCCAGTCAGTTGGGACAGTTTCCTGCTCCCACAGTTTGACTAGTAACTCGTGTAAATCATCCACAAGTGCAGGTCATCCGAATTTGAAGAGGGCTGGAGGAAGACCACCAGGTCCCGCGGCTTTATTTAACTTCAACAATTCGATCTCACGTTCCACTTCTGAGCGAGAGTGTGGATGCAAAGGGACAGCCCAAGGAGCGGGGCGATCAGTGGCCGGCGAGAAATCTAACAATCCCGGTCTTTTATATTGCGTTTCAGAGTGCTCAGCCTGACGCTCTAGGCGTTTTGACAAGTTATGGATAGGCCGTCCACTCTCGTCACAAATTGTTTCACTAACACCAGGTCTTCTGCTGCCCGTTACCCGTATCAGCCGGAATAACTTACGATGGTTCCCGAGAGCACCGGCCATTTCCATCTCTGATGCACGATGAGACCACCAGGATTCGCGGTCTCTCTTCAGGCAACACGGAGTTTTGTCCGGAGCTCTTTGCGAGTTTCATTTTGTTCGCTTCCAGCCGGAATATGCCGGCGAGCATCTATAAGTTCCAGTGACTGTGAAGAGACCCAATGTCCATTTTGGCGATTAGACTTACCACATGAGGATTTGCCTGCTGCTAGTAAGGACTGGTGAATATGAGACCAGTATGCTTCAATTGCATCCAGTGAGCGTTTATCCAACTCGCATGACAGGGTACTTTTGATAGGCATTCAGAACAACTTTCTGGTGTCAATGCGCTCACAACGTCGTCGTGCTCGTCCGCCATAGCGCATCCGTAGGTCAGCACATACAAGTGCATGGTCGGTGTCCACACATGTGCTCCAAATCGAGAGACAGTTCTGGACGCAGCCTCTCCATGAGTAACTTATCGAAATGTGATCGATTTGCGTCCGTAGCTGATTCGAGGCTGGTGGTTACCAAGTCACACTCCGGCGGGTGCTGTGTCGGAAATTAGTGCTCGCAAGAAATAAGCGAGCATCTTCACAGAAATGAAGTAACCGCTCAACGTTATCATTACGGGAGCCTACACCATGTTGGCCGCCCAGATGCAGTTCATCAGTGAATAATATTCCAACTTGAGCGTTCAGATCCCCGGCCAGCACTACAATGTCCGAGCTTCTTCTGTGGCTTAGGAGCTCGTTCATTTGACGATTGAAGTCGTCTTTTACCGAGTCGTCGCTAGAGTTTGTGGGTGCATAGGCAGCGATGACGAATAGACACCTGTTAGTCCCACGCGACTTCGAAGTTTTGAACGAGCCGGCCAATCGGACCGCACACAACCGGCTACTGATTGGAATCCAATCAACCGGAGTAGCTTCAGCCCGGGGACTCAGGGTAATACCAACACCGGCTTGGCCGTTGCTCGAAGCTGCATCGTCACCGGATGGGCGCAATGAGAAAGTGCTGCTAGTGTCACCTGAAGAGGATTGCAGAGTGAGCACAGAGCTCGAGTCTTGGAGGCGAATCTCCGATAAGCAGCAGATATCGATCGAGAGAGTCTCTGATATTCGGGCAAGTGCGGCCATTTCCTTTTCGTGTAATACTCAATTTTAGACAGAAAATCACCAAACAACATGTTTGAAAGAACAGATTTCTTTTTGTACCGTTTTCTCCCCCCTTCGATCATGCTACAATGATTCGCCTCGAATTTCCCGAGAATAAGATTTTATTTATATTTATTTGTAATTTCTTACATTACCGTCGTGGCCCTGCTGGCACATTTGTCTTTTTCCATACTTGTGCGTAAATGTGTTGCAGCATTTATACTAAGCACACCACTGTTTCTATCCATGGATTCATAATCATAGATACGCAAAATACAATTTTCATTGCTGCAATCAAGACCATTTGGCGACCTAGCACATTTTTATCTTAGAAACGCATAGCATGCACCCGGTTCTGACAATTGGGGCGTTTGTCTCATTGTGCCAGCATTGATCGGAATATCACGTGAGTCTGCCGACTGATTTGCTTTTAACCACTTCCTCATTTACAACTGCTAAATTATAGATTTCCCATTTGTGTTTGAACTGGGACGAGGAGCTACACTACGAAAAGGAATTGTGAGGAGAACAGAAGAGCCGTCGACGATTGTTTTACTTGCGCACCACTTTCCAGCTGTTCCATCGGAGAAAGTGCTTTTCAGCGTTCTCAACCTCTATCATTTGACTCAATTAATAGATCTATAAGACAGTTACGTGTACTGAGGTTTACCTGAGGAACGTAACACGAAGACTGCGAGTCATTGGGTATTAGGTAGCAGGTCCGACCCAGCGATATTGTACCAGAACCCTGAACTTTTGTACTCGTGTAGGCCAACTGGGAATGATATCCCTGTTGTACTGTGCCCATCTAACCCTACTGGCTGTTGTTTCGTGATTTCTGAGAACTCTTAACTCCTTTTTGCGTACATTATAATGCACTTCAAAGCCCTCAAGTTTGGTGCCCCGTCAAAGTAATTATATGCCCTCACTTTCAATTTTCTAATGCTTCGCACACCTGTCATTCAGTAACACCTACGTCGCGCCCCCTCTTTTCTTGTGATGCCAGTTTACTACACACTTATAGCACGTGCGCAAATCTGCTTATGTGGCCGTGTTTATTTTCTTGCGTATATTTGTTACGTTCCTCCATAATGCTTCTCAGTCGTACAGCGGTGACGTCATCTCGGCGTTGCTCTCCTTTGCCATCTACTATTTGCTCTTTACATACCTCATTGATCAAGAACAAAGTATGGAGGATAAGGCGATACATGTTCCGTCCATCACCCACTCAAACGCTCATTGCACCTCCGCAGAGGCGCACGAGGACGCTTCGGTGACCTTCAGAAGTACGCATTTCATTTGACTCCCGTGGGGATAAAACCCGCGTCCCTACTCTTATCTCTCTTTCACAAGGGGGCGGCAGCGGCTATACCGAATAGTAACCCGCTTGGCGTCCGTTTTGTCTCTTCTCAGGTGCTCCGTTGTGTAGTGAAACCTGGTGCACCAACGTTGGGGACTATCGCAAATGCTCACGTCAACCAAACTGCTCGAACTGCTTCGGTACTACCGGTATCTAACAAAGTATCCTCTGTCTTAGATTCTTTAGGAAATCAAACTCCTCTCACAATAAGCGTATTTTTCCAGCTCTCTGCAGAAGATCAAAATGTACTCTTGGTGAACGACTGTTTTTGCCTGTTCGGGAAATTCACCCGACTTTTTCTTTAAAACGTGGCAAGCTTCTTGGAGTCCACGACGCTGAGGTCATTTGCTTGTTGGAATGCAGGGAATCTCTGCGCGCCAGACTCGAGGAAGGCGACAGCGGTTTAAACAGCAATCAAAATTTACCTCCTGAGTTGGTTGATGAAATATCTAGCAAATTAAACCCACTAGATGTGATGTAACACCGCTCACTGTCCACTGATATGCACGCTACTGCCATGCAGAGGACAGGGTAGCCCCCTCACCGAGCAACGAACTTACTAAACTTAATCCACCAATCAGCTTTCGGTATTATAAGGGTTTGATCTGCTTACTAATTACAAGGTAGGATTTAGTGGTATTATTGCTCTTGGTCATGGATTCATAGGAGTAAGGTCGCGACTTCTAGTCTCGTAATAGTCTGCTGGAATGGATGCTGTTGACGATATTTTGAAAGTATGAAGCAGCACCCCAGTGCTTCTCTGGGTGTACATTGGTATGAGTCCAAAGGTGGTTACCCATGCTTCGTTAGTTTTCAATGTTTGTTATTTTGCTGCACACACTCCCCATGATGTCTGTGTCGCACTGCACATTCGCCACATGCTTATTTGAACGTTCCTACTTCTTGTAAGGAGGTGGGTAAAACAGTAGTGCATCCATTCTCCCATCAGCCGAGTGCGGACCAATTCACTGCAGTTTGCTCCAGAGCAGTGCCAACCGCATTACCTTGAAGCATTATTATAAACTGGATCAACGGCACTTTAAATACACATTACATTCTACATTAAACCTCTCTCTACTTTGTCCTATCCTTTTTCACTCTGTTCACACCTCCGTTGTTTTTGATGTGTTCATCTCCGCACCATCTTCCTCCTTTTTCTTCTTCACAGGAACGATCTATTCACGTCAGTGGCGGGATGGCTTGGTGGAATCGGTTCCTGTGCTGCTGTTGCCTGGTACTTGACAAAGGAATCTTTGAGGTGAGTGTTTGTTTGCACAGTTAACCCCTGCTTACATTATAGAAGTAACCTTTCAGCTAAGTAGCCAATTGTCTCACTTTTCTCCACTGATATAAGTATTTCTGCCTTGTGTTTTGCGCGATCTTCCAACTCTGCCTTTTCTGTACTGTACTTCAATTTGGTAGAGCGATTTCGTGATACTAGAGTGGTTCGTCGCATCCATCTCCCAACCGGACATACAAAAAGACGTCAAACGATTATTTCCTCTTATTGGGACTCATCAGTAGCGCCAATCTTCCGGTTTCCCTAGGAGGCAAAAGCATGACTTTCAAACAAGCTATCAGTTATGGCCGCTCTTACACCTGGCCTAGTGCTGCTAGCGTGGATAAGTCATAGGTTTGATACTTGACAGGGCCTTGGGGTACGCGCAACTGGTGAGTTCCAGTAGGACAAATGGTCGTCTAGTGCTTTACTGGATATGTGGAAAACTCTGAGGCCTGGAGCTGACTAAAGAATCATCCTTAATATGGAGAATCCTAGGGGTCCATTCACATTTGCCTCCTAAAATGAACACCGAGTAATTGGTTTCTCTTAACATCCATCCTGTGGCATCTTTACACGGCCAAGTGCTGTCACCTCAGTATTGAGTTCTACTACTGTCTTTTTCAGTTTATACCTGTTGTACAGACGCTCAAAGCATACTTGTCTGTTTATGTTGGATCATTGTCTCATCCCCGAGTCCCGTCGCCTATGTATACGATCCATTGCCAATATAATCACTGAACACACGCAACATCGTGTCGACGACGCCCGCTGCACACATCCCTATCATCCACACGATTTTACACTCCTGATTTCAGTTAGCGTCCGTACACACAATATCTCCCCTGCTTTCACACTAGGAGCGCATTTATTTCGTGAACCTTCTTGGTCTTTATGTTTTTTTTCGTTCAACATACTGGACTTGACGGATCTATTTCCAATCTGTCCCTTCTGTAGTTCCGAATGTACCCTGCGGAGAAGAGACTGGACGATCAATTTGCTTCTGTGTACCGGTTCACCGAACAAGCGGAACCATTGTTGCTCGATTGTCTGAACAATCTGGTGACCGTACTGGCCTCGAATGGGCGTGTGCAAATTCTGCTCATTTCCGCTCCGGATTCTGAGAACCGAAGTGAGTACTTCTTCCCATGTTGTGATTCATCGTCCACCAGAACCAACAGCGTGCTCGTTTCCTTCAAAAGTGTCGATTGTCACGACTCTACTGGCAAACGGCGGTTGTGTATTAGACACTGGTGATTCCACCGAATTTATGTGCGTTGGTAGGCGTGCATTTCGAGCAAGAAGAGAATGAATCGTTTTGCAATCAGAACAAAGATCGGCGTACCGTCTGTTTCTTTCACTCGTTGCGTTCGCCTGGCACATGAGTTACCCACTCGCAATCCTAGTGGCTCAACTCAACAGATCACGCTAGTGGCATGCCATCATGAATCACGTGTATGTTGTGTCGCTTATCTACACTTGACACACTCCTTAGTAGTAACAGACTTTGCGTTTTAGATACCATTGATAATTTCATCGTCGTGCTTTCCGTAGATAGTGTCGTGTAGCCCGCTCCACAAGTCAAAAGAAAGTCCGAATCTGTTATTCGTAAAACAAAGTGCCATTAATTACGAGGGCTCCTCACCGATCGTTTCTCCTTGTCGCACGTTTCGCCTTCAGTATATGTTCATTGGCCACTGCACGGTCTTCATTCGCGCTCAACTGTGTTTGCGATCATGTACATCCTTCTCCGCACCGGTTCTCCATCGTCCATCCGACCTGCACGATTATGGTTACCTCGCATGGTCAACACTTGATTCACCCTTTCTTCGCTTGTTACTCGTCGCCACCGGTCGCTCCGTGGACCGGCCGCTATCGCATCTCGTGACGCATGTGCAGGATCGTTGACGGTCACGCTCTGCTCGCTAGCAGCTGTTAGAGCCAATCCGCTTCGCCCATGCTTCTAACCGGGCTGCGCTTCGTTCACTTTAGGCTGAGCCAATTCTGATTCGTCTCTCCAGCTCATGCAACCGGCTCAGCTCTCAACGGTGGCGATTGATTGGCCTCCTGTCTGCCTACGCCGTATTGGCCACTTCACCCAAATAACCGGCTACCACCACATATGGGACTTTTCCATATGTCTGCCGGACTAGTACGACTCTCATGTGGATGCGTACAGCGATCTGCCTGATCCCGCTTAACGCCGTATGCAATTGGGATAAGACTGTCTTCCTGTCTTCCCCTCACTCACCGGGCAAAGTTCCCTTTTCAGGAGATCAAACGAGACGGGGCTATTCGGGGATACTTAACCCACGTAGTTCAAACAGAATGGTGAATTCGTTTGTCTCCTACGTAGCCCACTTTCGTTACAAACTCAGACGAGTTCTTTCCGTTAAGCCACACATGGCCACGAGATCCACCCTATGGAGGTTATGCAACCCATCCGACATTGCCAACGACATTCAAAGAGTGACCGCCCCACAAGCAGGTGCGGTTAGTTTGCTGGGCCGCGGCATTCTTGCTAAATGAGCTGATCGTCACTATCTGTGACACTGCTCAAGCGCCTCCGAAATGTCATCATATGGTCAACTTATCTTCCACCGACATCAAACCCTCCCTGATTTCCATTGACACCACGTGCTCTTGAATCAGTTTACTTAGTGCGTTTGCGATGCCGTTAAGTTACCTGGATTCACTAACGATGAGGTTACGCCTGAGGATTCTACATGCTGTCCTTTGGGAATGACAGTCGAAAACTTCCATCGTGGGGCATTTCCCTAGCGGACGGTTTGGCATTGAATGGGGCGGCGGTGCGCACAACATTAACCACAAATTATAAACATTAAAACAGCTTATAATTCCCTAACAACGCAGTGCTGTAATTCACCCTTACATAAGTGATTAGGTCACGTGTGCGCATCCCTTATGAAATCGGACACCCCGACTGGTTGCGAGATTGCGGCACAACATCACCCGATTCGTCATACGGACGCGTGACGTCCGCCAGACTCTTGTGCGCTAGTGATACTGCGAGTTCGACGTCATCAATCTTGACTCGGACCGGTGACCTGTGGGTTACAAGCCTTATCCATGATGCACTCTGTCACCGGTTGGTGACCCCAGGAACACTGCACTGTCTTGCGTTCCTTAGAATTTTTCCACATGGCCCGACTCACTTTATAGTCGAACATTCTGGCGCGCTTTGTAACGATTTCCTGACGAGCTTGAGGAAACCATACTTTCCTCCTAAAGGAGTCTTATTTTAATCATTCTGAAGAGGCATAGACTCCGTCCAATGCGAAAATGTGATTGTTATATTAAGTATTTACAGAGTCCTAACTTTACTTTTGTGCTCTGATGAGACCCATCTGTTGTCTCTTTCTTTGCTTTTTTGAGCCGTTCACCTTGTGGACCGTTGATCTCTCCCTCGTTCGAGGAACGGTTTCATTGATTTAGTATATTGAACTCCCCGTATCACCCTAAACCATACACTGTGAAGACGTGCTCGTGGATGACATCTTTTCGTGCTATCTGATCACATATAAACTACCAACAAATTTAGTCATCACCGTCATCAGCAGCATAGTTTGCATACTGTTAGAAAATACGCGTATAGTCACAACAGAATGCCAGAAATTCACAAGTTGCGGAACAACTGTCACGATCCCCAATGAAATTTGTGTGTGATAGCTTGCTGTATTTGCACTCAAAGGTCCAGACCATTGAGAATAACGATCACAGACTCAGCGGCATTGAGTACTTATAATACTACTGGGTATAGTTCTCTTTAAATGAGAAGCTGCATCCATATTTGACGCAGATCAAATATGTACAGGTGGTACCATACTCTTGCATGGGCAATATGAATTTGTGATGCGATGTACGGTCCAACTGGATATTACGATTTTTGGTGCACGACAAAATCGCAAGGAGCAAATGTTATATTTTTCGAATTTTCGAAAGCAGTCCTCAGACTTTTTTGGCCGACATGGCTAATTGGTCGGTTAAATATTTCGGGAGGATTGTGAGGTTTTAAAAGATAACAACTGTAGATAAATGAAACGTATAAGTGAAGTAATATAGCCATGGGTGTTTGTATTGCGGTAAATAACCGTGAACCATAATTCAGATCCCCAACCTGATGAGGTGTTAATTGTGGAAGTAGTTTGGTGAATGGCCACCACATCTGGGACAACAAATACCCCAGCATGCCAGAATAGTTTGTGTGTTTTCTCCTATAGATGTTCCGCCAGCCTGTCGGTGTTTCTGACCGATTGCTATCCGCATCCACATGGTGTATCCGTTGGCCCGATGCTCTCTGCACTTAGGGTACTCGCAACCACAATGGCTGGAAGTTTAGATGATCCTTTAACGCGCATACCATGATCATCAGCTGGGTAGTTAGGTTCAATCCCTTCACCGAACCTACCTCTCTTTAGTTTTATCTTTTAGCTATCAACTATTGTCGCATGGCACAGATGTGTTGATGATAATTCAGTTTTGTATCACTGCATCGTCTTTTAGCGTTATGCAATGACCCCGTTTTAAATGCCTTTCTTGTTTTTCTGGGACTCAATTGCGCCACCCGACAAAATGAGTTATCTTTAGCCATCTAGTTTGTCTTGTTTCTCCCTGTGCCGAGTTTCAACTGCACTAATGTGCCCATTCATTCCACATCACGCTATTTTTCCAACATTGTTCTCTCTCTGCGTCTAGTCGTTCGCCTCATTTGCCTTCCAGTTTCCCATGCAACCCTTCTACCGTCTCGCATCGAGACACGTAGTTACCCATATTCCGTTTAAAACGTTTCATTCCACTCTCTTTAGAGTCACTGAGTACCATGCGATTTTGATGTTATTTTTTCCATTCTCCCCATTCATCTGTGTTCAATTTCCTCGAGTCTGCACGTTAACGCTGAAAGTATACTCTCCATCCCTGAGCTTATCGAACTGGTAAACCCCTACTTGTTACCATCATTTTTGCTCTGTTAATAAGCAGCTTCGTCTCATGTCCCACCCCCCGTGCATTCATTTTAGAACCGCCTCTACTCATCAGCCTGTTGCAAACAATCGTTTTGACCAACCTTATCCCGTTTCCAACTTGTGTGGTTCGCCTTTGCCTTTGCTCTGTCGCGGCAAACCTCCGTGAGTTCACAACGGTTTCATTCACCTTTTTCCTCTTAATCTCTCCAACTCGGCAGCTACATCAAGACAACCTGCTCCCTGTTTTTTTTACCACATTTATCCATGCTCACTGATTGTTTTTTTGGCTACCCATGTTATATTGATCGCCATTTCTATTCCCACACTCTCTGGTGCCGCATCTACTAAAAATATTCCACACTGGCCTTTATTTAGCACATGAAACTACTCAGTTTCGTTTAATACACTATGGCACTGGAAGAATATAGTTCACCTCGATCTTTAGTGTCAAACCGTCCGTCGAATGCACTCGATGTTCCAAGTTGAATCACCGGTCCCCATCAACACTTCCTGGATAAAATTGTGTGTTCCATCATGGCGCCGACAAAGCGTACCATCCGCCTGACGGATCGGGCTTAGACAGACAACATGTTCGTACATTCTTAATAGTTCTCGCTTAGGTTTGATAAAGGGATATAACAGAAACGTTTTCAAACAAATCTTTCATGCCGTTTATTGTCTTCTTCCATCAACTCCGCAAACACACTCCGCTGGTACTTTCAAGTTTGCATCGGGGAACATTATAATAGTGGGGTCATAGGTGGAAAGGGGGGGGAAAGAAACTTCGCCCAAATTGAGACGGACAAGCACAGGCAAGAATGATGTCTTGTAGTAGCATACTGAAAAATACGGGACCCATTTTTCTATGAATAACCAAGACCTTGTTAGAGGGATAACGAGTCTAGATTATTGTAATTTCCGTCATCCACTTGCTTTTGTTTATTACATTATATTAAAGATGATTCTTAGCACTCCGCTTCCAGCGTTCTACACAATCCCTGAAAGCGCGCTAGACGGCCATTTCATTCCACTTACACCACTCAGTAGCACACATCCTGTCGCCTCCTATGTATCTGGTTGTTCGGAAAGTGGTTTCGTTTTTACCCCACATAGGATTTGCGTGTATTTTTTTCACAGCCAACATCACATTTAAGCCGCATATTTTTCCTACTTTGACTGCGGATATAGCCAGATTTGTTTGTGAAAAAATCCACTTGATTTCACGCAGTGTTTTTGGCGCCCTTTCACACATTATGGAGAGTGAAAAGCATCATTTTCGGCATATTTTATTTTTTTTACCATCGAAAAGGTAAAAATGTTGTTCAAGCAAAAAATAATTATCCGATGTGTATGGAGAAGATGTATGGACAGAACGCCAGTGCCAAACTAGTTTGTAAGATTTCGATCCGGCATCAAATAAATCATTATTTATAGTAATCAATAAACTAGTTACTTGCACCAATTTTTTGAATAATTGATATTACTTGATACAAACCGGCGAACAACAGCTCTTGAGATCGCTGTGAGATTAAATTTATCTACTTCGATTGTTTATGAACATTTGAAATGCCTAGATCTTATCTCAAAGCTCGACACATGGCCTTCTCATGTTTTTACGGAAAGAAATTTATGCCGTCGCGTTGAGGTCTGTGATTATTTGTACCCGTCTCTACAAAACCTTTTACACGGTAACACCTTTACCACAAGTGTGGAGGTCAAAAACCATCTGTATCAGTTTTTGCCGGTAAAACAAGTTTATGAGTGTGAATTATGCTATTGCCAGAAAGATGGCAAATGGTATTGAATCAAATTGGAGAATATATAGTTTAATAAAATATTCATTCACTATAAGACAATCGCTTTTTCTTTTTCCTCGAAAAAATACGAAATTGCCATATATTACTGTGTATTAGCCGAGGAATTTTAGACAATTTTCCATGTTTGCAGTGAGGGGTTGGCATATACAAAGATTATACAAACTTAGAGGTAATCACATGCTAAATTCACCCAGAAAATCACTGCACACCTATGCCCCTATCTTGCCTTAGCACCACTCACTAGTGATATATGCACATCGCTTCTGTCCAGACATTTTTTCACGTTTCCACGGCTTTGGAAGATCGCACGAAATGTGGGCACATTCGCTCTCAGCTGAATCGTGTTACATCCCGTTAGCGCTATTTTCGTAAGCGAATCACAGCGCTTATACATTATGCTATTCTAGTCAATCTGGTGCATAAAAAGTACAACGTCGTCCCACACCACTGGTCGTGAACGCCTCTCACCCGCTTCTCCACTACGAATCAGATATATGAGGCCCCTGATTATGCGAGGCGGTGTCTGATATACCCATATTGTTGGCTGTCTTACCTGTTTCGTGTGACTTGACATCTAATCAGTACACTGTCCAGTACGATTAAAATCTTTGTTCTGACGGCTCTAAACCCCCTTAACTGCGAGCATAACAAATTAGGTAGCCAGAACTGACCAATAGTAGAGCAGCTTTCGCTTGAGCACACTCAAGTGAGAGCAGGTAGTGATGAAGTCAAGACCATAAGTAACAATTTTCTCTTTTTGCTGATTTTTTGAGGTCGGCTACTATACGGACTTTAGCTTTTGGACAAATTTGGCGTTACTAACTCATACTGTGGGCTTTTATGCGGATCGATAATATACGGTACTTTCCGATCAACCAGATAACTAAACTAATGGCCTTTTAATTCCAACGGCTTATGCCATTACAGGCCGTGGCCGTGATGGCGGAGGACCATCGCGACTGATAACTAACAGCGATATAGCGCAGCCTATCCTCTGAGTATGAAGAACTACGTTTACTTCTCCAAATCTCCGTGGCAACTACAATGTGGAGACGAGAGAGATCACAAACTACAGCATTACATCAGCCATTCGAATTGACGTTTCGTTACCATACAACCACGATGCCTTACGGATCAAAGAATGGTAAGAGGGAGACAAGGGAGGGAGACTTTGCGTAAAACCTTAATGCCATAAACCGACATTCAGAGTCAAGGTGCCTGCAGCTGTTCAACACACGGTCACAAACAGCTGACTAGCGTGTAAAAATAATACGGCATCGACGAGATAGCTTCGTTGCGGCTTTCACTGCCCCACGTCGTAATCAGTCATTACCCTGAAGATAACTCAGCACCAAACACGCTTTAAACAGGTAGTCTAACTCTGAGACGATAGCCTTCGCGCAACTGTTGTGGACTGTGAGCCGTCCTGTACTGTCTCGAGCCAAGCGTAGATATTTCACGTAGACTCCAATCTGGAAGGCTAGACGGACTAACGACACCCAGTTTTGTAGTCAGTGACTTCATTTTCCGCTGGCGCATTAACTTTTGTCCACCTCGAGCTTTTCGCCGCCCTACAGGAGAGAAACAGTGAGAACGCAGTAGGTTACTTTTGCTGTTGAGAGATCGATTGTTGTTGTATCGGTGGATTTATCGTTTGTGTATGATTGGACGAAAACACCGATCGCCTGTATCGGGGTACAAATTACTGGGTTCAGACTAAGTCGTTAATATGTTGGAAGAACTACACGGCTTGTCATGCAAGTTACGACCGTTACAGAGGATATGCCTGACCTTTAGAACCACGGTTTCCCTTCTAGTAACTATGCATGACACAGTGTTTAGACACTGTTTTGGCGGACTTCTGCTTGCGTTATCATACTAATCATTTAATCAATCCTCGTTTATCTGTCTGTTCTTACTCGCAACAGTATGAGGCACAGTTAGCTCCACTCGTGACTTCACTCATTTTATAACATTTTTTTATTTCACTTATTCCATTCTGGGTTAATCTCCCTTTTTGCATGGCTCTCTGTTTTGTATTACATCCCATTCAGCTCGCCCCACGAGTACATCACACCCACAGCGGCCCAAAACCGATGATAAGTACTCACCTGATCTCATGCAATTTTCAACCGATGCATTGGATTCTACACCGGCTCAGGGGGAGTTGGCAGATCCTTGTATGGCTGCCCGCTTCACGCCACCTCGCAGCCTGCTGATTAATTATGCGGGCCATGTGTTCATCTTGCAACCCAACAAAACTCCTGATGAGGCAGCGGACAAGGACGATCCACATAAGCGAGTGAGTCTCATCTAACATTCCATGCCCAGAATTCGCCTCCATCCACAGTGTGGGGTCGTACGTCCTTTCACCCCCCGAAGTCGAGCCCTCATCGCGATCACTTGAGTTACGCTTGGATCATCTCCATCATTTATACATGCCCTCAATATCTATCGCTTCATAGGAATTTTCATGCAAACCACCTGGTTTTACTGTCATAACCGCATCTTCTACCGACGCACATCTTCCCAATGAGATTTGCCTCACCGATTTACACAACACTGCAATGATGCCTTCTCTGTGGACGCTTACCTTGGCATCACATATTCATATTTGACAACTATTCTTTCCGGCACCCTTATTCGGTCTCTACAAGTGTTCTGTACTATCCTTTAGCCTTGCTTTCTTTCTGCTCCGCTACAACACACTTCATTCTCTGTCCTTGCAGTTCACTGTCACTTCACGGTTTCGATCTTAGTTATCGAGCTTAACTGATTGTTCTGCTGCTCCAATCAAACTCCAGTGCGTATAAAATGATTCGCGCGCTCTCTTTATTGGATTTTACTACGGCCTCCCCTTTGATCTTCGACCATGACGTTCAGCTGACTCTCGGTTCCATCTCAGCCTCCATATCTAAGACGACCAATCAAAGTCACATCATTCCGCGGAAATCAGTGTGACTTCCATTGAGCGCAATCAGTTAATGAGTCCAGCACTAGTTTTCTCCTGGAAATAATTGTACTCGAGTATCTAGCTCATGAACATCCACCTTTTATTCTCCTATCATGTAACCCTTGTGTTTTTCTCTTCGCAGCGTCCTTTGATTCTCACGCCTTTTTTAATCGCTACTCACGTGGAACTGGTCTGGACAACAGCTTCCGTCTCTGTCCAAGCTTCGCTTCCCCATCCACTCCATGGTCTTGGCACTACTACCTCAAATGAACTATCATTGGCCCCCTATTTGAACACTTCCTTGTGGCTGTATTGCGGTTCGGCTGGCCTGTTTGTGTGGTTACCGCTGCCAAAATTGCACCCTTCCTCACCCGGGGAATGGGATCACGAACTTCCCATTCATAATTCTGGCTTTCCCGCCTCTCCTTCCTCGTGCTCGCCTAAGTGGCGGCGTCATGGGTGCACACATCTCATTCCTGGCTACGTGTCGCGCCGAATCATGCTTTCAATTGAGCTGGAAGAGCATGTTCACCCGTTGGGTGAGTTCTACGATACTTTCGGCACCTCCTCTCTTGTTGAGTACTACGTGTGCCACAGCACATTCCACGTGAACCTCTTCTACTTATGTGTTTTCGTATTTCATGGTTGACACCCCGTCTGGTCTTATTCAGAAGAGTTCATTTGCATTGAGCTTCACTCAATGTTACTAAAATTGCCATGAACGCTTTACACGGACAATTAGCACGCAGTTGCTCTTGAGCCAAAGCCCTCACGGTAGAGCTGGATCTTGAGACGGGTTGCTCGCCCCTGTGATACATCCATCGAGTTTCGCTTGATGCATGATTTCCTGCTTGCTTGCGTAGTTTGAGCCCAGACAAACACAGTCTCCGCATCCACCCTATCGAAGTTTAGATGTAGTCATGAGTAACAGTAATGTACGCATGATACTCGTTTGGATCCCGGTGTCCCCTGAGAAAACACCACCATAGCTAGGTGGTTTGTTACTGCCCGCCAAATCCCACCAACAATTGAGATTGTGTTCGCAGGCGACGATCAAAAACATCCACTACTATCTCTAACTCTTGCTGTCTGGGACCACCGATCTCACACAAATCCCAATGGTTCCAAGCAGTTAAATCTGCTTGTACTCTTGCTCCTGGCTTATATTAGTGAATTGAGAGCTCCGAATTACCCTCTCTCCAAGCAACTCTCCATTCAGCCCACTGTCTTGTGTACGCCACAATTCCGAGTTTTGCAGATCAGCAATGGGAACCCCAAAGTACAAATCCTCTGGATGGTGGCAACCATAGAGTATCACCTACGCTTGACTCTCCATCTCCAAGATTCTTTTCCTCTACCCTGTTTTTATGTTTGCTCTCCATTGGTTAGTCAACCAGAATCCGTTCTATTTCGTGAACCGTGATATCCATATGTCTAAGTTGTCGGCCGGTGTCTGAGTGGACTGCGTTTGGTTTGCAACCATAAGATCACTGGTTCCAATCCGTGTAGGGGTGGGCGTCCTCGCGGTTTACTCAGCCCGCGCGCGACTGGTGGTGGTCGCGCGGCAGCGAAGCGCCGTAACGGCGTACAGCTGACACATTGTTTATTAATTATTAACTTGTCTTTTAGACTAAAGGTCCCATCCTAAATTGATTACTACAACATTCTCACCCTATACCAGATCGGCCGATCGGTCAACATGCAACTCTCACTCTACTCCCTGTTGGAATTCTGTTGTGCTATATTGCCGAAACACCCATGTTAGGCCACAGCTTCCTTACGAATTCTCTGCAATCAGGCTTAGAATTCAGTACTGATGACTACTATTTGCCGATCTGGTGATAACGAATGAGACGGCTAAACCTGTTTTTAGTATCTGTGTAACTCTCTTCAGCGTGTGTGCTGTCCGACTTCGGATCTTCACCGGTTGATGGAAATCGATCGCAGTCTGCAGTAACCTCTCCGTTTTCTAATCTACGCCCACCGCTTTCACAATTTGAAGCTTATCAAACACAATAATTATCAGTGCCTTACATTTTCCATGTGACCACGGACACACAACTCGCGATTTGGATTGGTTGCACATTTTATCAAGCAGACCACTTGTCGAAAACCGAACAATGTCTAAGTGTACCTTTTGGAGTCCATCTTCATCGTAGCGCTATTAACGCCACTATCCAGCCGCCATCCATTTCAGTTGGCTTCAAATCGCTCTTATTCGGTGTCGCATTGCAACGACACTGGACCTTAACGTGGTGCGACGGTTTGCGTACCTCCTTAACCCATTGAGCAATACTGGATGGTGCCTTCGTGGCCCATTGAGAGATACCAGGATGTTCAATAGTTAGTCAGACAAGCTCAGTCTCCTGGTCCTCCAGGTTGGGGGGTTGAAATGGGATGGCGTACATTTCTGTAAAGTTAAACCATTGCCACCTCCCCGCTGCCTTGCGCACAGGCTTTTTACCCAAAAGCTTTGGTTGGGAATCCTAATCCTCCTCCTGTATAGGTCTGAGCGCTCTAGCAGTATCCCACATACAACCATGACTTTTTCTCCAAACATCAACTTCATCCTGCATTGACCGTCGCACAGATTATCATGGATCGCCTCATCTGCTGCATACAGCAGGGCGGATAAGCAAAACCGTGCTACTGCTGTCTCCTCCGTTCTTTCTTTTCCACCTTTTTTCTCTTACTCTCATCCCGATCCCCATTACTAACCTTCCTTCTATAATTCCCAGCTTAATTTACAGCAACCGAAATGCCACTGGAGTAGAACCATCTGCAGCCACCATCCCACCGCACCTACCGGACGCCTATCGGCTACAGTCCCTTGTAAGGCCACGCTGTCCTGTTTCGCTGGCGGCGTACAATGCACTCTAAGAGAAATAAGTCAACAGGCTGCACTCGCACGCACCTTGGACACACTGGGTATTGATGTGTGTTGTGTGTCCGAAACTAGGATCAATGACCCTAACGAGGTTATTGAATTAACTGCTCCCGTCTTGTCCTCTCGCTAATGGCTGCATGTATCCGGCGACGCCGATGCGGCGCTCACGGGTCAATCTGGTGTGGGTATCAGTCTAACTTCCACTGCTGAGCCATCGTTGGTTGATTGGATTTCGGTGAACAGCCGTTTGAGGACATCATCTAAGGTTGATTCACGAAGTAGTACAAAACGCTGTTTGTTTGTGATCCCCGCTTGTGCTCCCACCGACCGTAGTTCTAATGCTGTTAAGGACACATTCTATCAACTACTGAACGCGCTACTACGCAGTGCTACTAGTTCAGATATTATATTACTTGTAGGGAATATGAATGCACAAGTAGGGCGTCTGAGCTCTTTAGATGGTCAGCTGGGTTGTAAGTATGGTCTTAACTCCGAACGGACTGACAACGGGGAGCGTCTGCTGCAGTTGTACGGAGCACCAGTTGTTTCTTAGTAGCACTGCTTTCAGACACAGTGGGCGCAGAAGTGCCACTTGGCGTCTTCCTGTAGCTGGCCAGCGATGGACCCAAATTGACCACATAGCCATAAGTTACAGGTGACGTGGTTCCATCCTGGACTGCCGCTCATACTGGAATACCTGCCTCGACTCTGATCATGCGTTGGTACGCTGTCGTTTCTCCATGAACTTGACTGGGAGGTGCACCAAGCGTCTCCGATTGGTAACTGAGAAATTGTCTCAGTCATTGGCCAAGCAAGTCTATCAAGACGTACTGCGTACCGAACTTTCGCCCCCTTGTCGTAATGACACAGAGCTTCAGTGGAATAGAATCTCGGTCGCCATGCACGATGCAGGAGCATCTGCTCATGGAACTATCAATCGTCGCTGCGCTAGTCACTGGATATCCGAGAGGTCGATGAACCTGCTGGAATCTAGAATCCTCCCGGCTGGCTCTGAGCACAATGTGACCAGACGGGCTATTAGGCGCGAACTGAAGCGGAGCCTACTTGCTGACAAGCAAGCCTGGTAGACCAGTCGGGCTCAAGAAATGGAGGAGACAGGAGCTGTAAGCAATTACCGGAAGCTTTTTCAGCTGATCCGCACCACTGATCCCAGGAAACCAGGCGTCAGTGAAACAATCAGAGACAGCGCGGGTACTCTCATTCCGCATGGCTAGTTTTGCGGAACACTTTCAAGATCAGTTCAGCCGGCCCCCTGCTCCCGGACCTCTTCCTACTTAGGTGATGCAGGACGAACCATGGACGGTTAGTTTATAGGCTCCATCAAAGGCTGAGGTCCGAAACGCGATCACAGCCCTCAATCGTTTTCGTGCCACTGGCCCGGATTCCCTGCCACATACAAAGCACTGACCTCCCTATTCGAACATATCTGGAAGGAAGTGTCCCAGCTAACTGGAGTAAATCGATTGTAGTGGCAGTATTCAAGTAGGGCCGTCGCACAGACTGTTCTAACCACATGAGTATTAGCCTAACGCCAGTTGTGACAAAATTACTGGCGTCGATTCTCGTTCGTCGCCTCACTGTGGAACGGGAAGCTCAGATTCGGGAAGCGCAGGCAGGTTTACGCCCAGGACGTGGCTGTATAGAGCATATATTCACTCTGCGGTAGGTGCTAGAGCAACGCCACGCATACCGCAGGTCGACAATAGCTGCTTTTCGAAGTGCGTTCGATTCAGTCGATGGATGCATTCTGTTCGAAATACTTGCGCGGAAAGGTGTTCCCACGAAATATGTGAACATCCTTCGTGCTCTATACTCGATCACTACAGACCGCGTCAGGGTCTACGGTGACCTATCGGATGGCTTTCCGACCACAAGTGGCGTTCGTCAGGGTTGTTCGATATCCCGATTTTGTTCACTTGCGTCGTGGAGTCTATCACGGAGGGTTCTCTTTCGCAATCTTTCGGATCTCACGATACTGATTATGCGGATGATATCGTCTTGCTTTTCGACAATGTTGCGGCGGCACAATCAACCCTGAATAGCCTGTCCAGAGTGGTCCCATTGTTTGGTATGCACTTCGCACCTTCAATGTGCTAAGTGTTGCTGCAGGACCACCAGTCACTTCATTACCCATTGACACTTGCTAACGAGGAACTTGAAGTAGTTTATCAATTCACTTACCTTGGCAGCTGCGTCAGCAACGATGGGTGCATAGAAACTGACGTCAGCTCACGCTTTGTAAAGGCCGGAGCTGCCTTCTTGAACCTGCGGCATCTTTGCGACAGAAGGGAGTTTCCCTTCGTCTGAAAGGCCGTGTATACATGGCCACATTGAGGGCTGTCCTACTTCATGGTACTGAGACTTGGCCCCTTCGGTCTGAAGATCTGAGTCGCCTACAAGTCTTTGAACACTGGTGTCTGTGAAGCAGTGCTGATGTCGGATGGCACCAGCATGACCGCAACGATGATGTGCGTAGGCGAGTACTAGGTAGTGATAAGCATGTTAGCTCCTTAGAACAACAGATGGCACTGAATAAGTTGCGTTGGCTCGGGCACGTGCTACGTACGCCTGGTCACGGCTTACCTAGGAGGACCTTGTTTAGTTTGCCAGATGTAGGATTACGCAACGCTCGCGGTGGACAGAAGTTGTCTTGGCAACGTGAAATGTACTCACTGACTACCAAACTGGGTGCTGTTGGTCCGCCTCGCCTTCCAGGCTGGAGTCCACGTGACTCGCCTTGTGCCTGACTTGAGACACTACAAGACATGGCTCACAACCAACACCAGTGGCGCGTCTGCTGCCGTCTCCTAGTCGGACTGCCTGTTTAAAGTGTGTTTGGTGCTGAGTTATCTGCGGGGTAATGGCTAATTATGACACGTGGCAGTGAAAGCCGCAAGGAAGCTGTCTCGCCGATGCCGCCTTATCTTTGCACGATAGCCAGCTGTTTGAGACGGCATGTTGTCGACACAAGCGTTTTAAGCGCCTTGACTCTGAATGTTTACTTAGGACATTAAGGTTTTCAGGTAAGTCTCTCTTCTCTCCCTCTTACTATTCTTTATTCCATAGGTCATCATGGTTGTATGCTAGCGAAACATCAGTTCGAATGGTTGATGTACTGCTGTTGTTGATGAGGTTGTTTTATTCTGTATCGCAATTCATCCACCTCTGAAGATCTGTTGTCTCCCAAGGCTATTACTTCCCACAATTCATTTGCATGTTAAACCATAAAATATGCCTAAGTTTGACCATCTTTAATAAAACATGTTTCCCCTATCACTGGCAGCGAAGTTTTGCTTTCGACCCTTTTCGCCCTTCCCATATTCTGCCGATAATTTTAGCTTGGGTGCTATCTTACTGCAACTCCCCGTTACTTTTCCCTTTATTCCACCTGTTAAGTACGAAAATCCGGGGTTAACCTGCAGTGGATTCTCATGTAGTTTACTTGCACCGTTGCATAAGCCTATTCTATCAACCGCCCCATTCCTCCCATTGTTTATACGATCTCTTCGACTGTGCTTCGTCTAGCTTGATCTCAAGCTTCAAACACTGGAGAAAATCCGCGCCTTTCTCAGCTACTCCCAGAAGCTTAATTCATCGTCCAATAAAACATCCTTAATACTTGTATTTTGTTTATAAATTGTTCTTTCAAGTACAAACTTGAAGAAGTCTGAGGTTTGATCTGTCTCCTTGTAGACAGTCTCTCTAGAGTTCGGGAAACATTCTTGTCAGTTCAAAGCCACACAGTGTAAAAGCTGTTGGACGCATGTTAGTTGCTGTATCGAGAGAAGTCATCATAATCATCAATCAATCATCATCTACAACAAAACCAGACAGTCTTGCAATATAATGGCGCGTCCCATCGTTCTTTTCCTTAGCACATCTTTAGTGGCGACCTAAGCTCTCTTGTTGTTGACGCATATACTTTCTCCTCCCTCCTTTTCAGCCATTCTCTTCCATCAGGCCATTCTGATAGGGATCATGAACGATTTTCACAGACCGTTGCGTATCACCGCAAAGCGCTTGGAACACATATCCGCGGACGATTTCTACGCCATCCTGCCGCACGGCGTTCTGGTGATGGAGGTGAGCCCGGTCTCCGTCTCTCACATGGTTGCAGCACTCAGTTGATTGCCGGTGTGGTTCTCTTCTATAGCAATTCTCATCTTTCTTGTCATTTTGCTTTTCAGACGCATGCCTTCCTGCACCGCCTAATTCAACAACTACTGTGTAAAAAGTGAGTTCATACACTTTGGAGCCTTCATTCATTTTCGGTCTCTACTAATGCCCATATTCATATATCCTCTCAGTGATTCACTGTCACTCTGCTCTAGACCTTTTTCAGTACAGTTTCCCATCGCTTTGTGCTAACGGTTCACTGCTTCTACTGAACCGCACGCGCTTGTGCGCTGGTTAGGATGCTGCAGGAACGCATAAACGCACGCGGGAACACGGACTCGAGCCCCGGGACGCATAGGTTGCAGATCACATGCGTAGTGAAGCGCTATAGTTCTCTTCAACTTTGCTGTTTATAGGCTAAGTCTGGTACGCTTTTTGGTCACACTTACTTTTCTGTGTAACGCATTTGGCTGCCGGAGCTAATTGTCGAGTCTTGGCAACTTTCCATCAATGTGTGAAAGGCCGTAATTTGCATACATTGCTACACTGCGGCTAAGGATTTCGTTGCCACATTTAGTCGCATGATTTTATGCGGATTACGATGACTCGGATGCCATTTTCACACAATTATGGACCGAATTGCATCGCGACACTGGGAATTTGGGAGTCGAGATGCACCGAGTTTTGATCTCGGTCGATGAATCTGAGGTATATAAAATGAAGCGAAATATCTGCAACAGTGTGAAAACGAGCAAGCGCGGGCATTTCGAAGGGCAGCTGGCAACCGCAACCTAAACTACCTGAAGAGGATCTTTGCGTACTTGAAGCGACGCCTACGATCGACAAGTAACCTACCAGTGATAGTGGATGCGAACGGACAGCCCCTAACCTCCAGCACTTAGCGTGCGTCTGCCACTTTGCTTCTGTGTTGACAAATGACCTGGTGCCTGGACCGAGTTCGGTGTGCACCGAAGTCGTCATTCCGCATTGTGGTGGGGAAGAGGTACATAGAAGTGGACGTCCTTGTGGTATACAGCCCACGCGCGACTGGTGGTCGCGCGGCAGCGAAGTGCCCTTAAGGTGTACAGCTGACGGTTTATTTATTTGTAATCTTGACGGTACCAAGCCTGCCGCGCCTGACGGGCTCTAACCACTGATTCTCACGTCCTTATCGGTCATCATCTCGCCTGCCGTAATTGACCTGTCCGAAGGTACATTGTCAATTGATTGGAAATGCTCGGTGAAAAGGCTGATTCCGAAAAGGGAAAACTCAGCAAGCTAGACAACTACAAGCCCATTGGTCTGGCACCCATCTTGGCTAGGTTTCAGAAAAGATTGTGAAAAGCGTTTGTTGCAGCCGTTCTAGTCAAAAGATCTGAAGCCCGCTCAGCACCGTTTCATGCCAGGTCGTTCATGCATCACCTACCTGCTCTGGACGAGGTATTAATGATTGCAAGCAGTGAACCATGGGGTGTCTGTCGACGTGGTCCACATCAATCTTAGCAGTTTTCGACAAGGTGAACCACGTGGTCCTCTTTCTCAAGCTGAGTGTGCGGTGTTGGTGGACCTCTGCACCATTGGATCCAGGACTTTCCCGTTTTACTAAATTGGAAAGTACAAGTCGATAGCCACCTGACCGACTGGTATGCTTCGACCAGTGGCGTATCCCAAGGCACGGTGCTGGGGCGTACATTGTTCCTGATTTATATCAACGACCTACCTCAGCTTCTTCGGTCACCGTGTGCCTTGTTTGGAAACGGCCTGCATATGCGGAGGGTGATAAGCACATCCGACGACTACGGGTTACTTCAACACAACCTAAATTGCTTTTCCATGTTGTCTGCAGAAGTTCGCCCCCCGGTCAACCTATCCAAGTCGGTATTCTTGAGCCTAGAGAAGGGTGGTGACGGATGAACCTACACTCCAGACGACCAACTGCTACATCCAACACCTCCCGTGAAGAACCTAGGCCTACTCTCACTTTACCATTCGTAGTCCATTGACAATACAAACAGGCTACACCGAAATGGACAGTACATGTTCTGGACACTCAACCGCAGTTTCTGCATTTAATCTGAAGAGGTTGCCACTCACCTGCATCATCAAACCAATGCTAAAGCACGGCTCGCCTGCCTATTGCCCGACCACTCGCGGCGAGGCGCAGGAGATTGAACAGGTTCAGCACGTCGCTACCAGGCTCATCCCCAGTTTGCGAGCCTTACCGTAGGAGGGCAGGTGCGAGAGGCTGGGACTGTACATCCTGGCTTATCGTCGGTTACAAGTCGACATCATCAGAACCTACCGGATTCTGCATGTAGGCGACTTCTCTATGCTAAGGCCGCCGCACTACTTGCGAATGCCTTGCAGCACATGCCAACACCAATACAAGCTTGTAGTACCAGATATGAAGCGAGTTCCCCATCCCTGTGCTTGGGACAGCGAGTGCTAAACGTCTGGAACGGTTTGCCGCAACATCTAGTGGAAACGAACTCAGTGCAGCACTCCAAAAGATTGTTAGATCTACATTTATTCAACTTATTATTTCGAACTGCTCCTAAGTGATCGGCCTCTTGACTTGGAGTAAGATGACGACTTGACCATTATCTGTGACGGGTCCCAAATGTGCCAAGTCACACTGGACAAACTAGTTTTGGCTGCTGGTCATTTCGGGCTATGCTTTGCACCGTCGAAATGCAGTCCTTCTCCAAGATTGGCAGGGACCCACTCCTGCCCCAACCATTGGTTTTGATCAGCTAGAAGTCGTTCAGAAATTCAGTTACCTAGGCAGTTGTAACAGCACATGTGGAATCAAAGACGAGGTCACGGACCGTAAAGCAAAAGTGTGAGGCGCTTTTGCCAATCTTTGCCACATGTGGCGCCGGCACGACATCACTCTCGCTCTGAAAGGCAGAGTTTACAATGCGACCTTCCGTTCAACCTGTCCCATCAAGTCGACAATAAAGAGGCTAGTCACCTTCGATCATCGCTGCCTTCGCAGCTTAGCTCAAGCCTGGTGGGAGCACTGCGTGAGCAATGAGCGTGTTTGGCGTCGTGTGGTTGGTGCAGCAAGAGTGAGCAAACAGCTCAGCACCGTTATATCACGCACCCGGCTCCGATCACTGGGCGACTTGTTGCACATGCCAGCACACTGACTCCTCCGTCATTCGTTTCACGTTGTGCAACTGGTTTACTCCAATTCCATCCCCAGATCCGGACAGAAAGGAAAATACGTTGAATAACTATGTACTAAGCGGCGACAATGCAACACACATGCTCTCCACTCATGTCATTTGTCAGTGTGCTTAAATGGAGGTGATGAGTATTGAAAAATCAACGTATATATACTCATTCGTATGCACAAGTGGCGACACAACCTCTGTGGATCGCATGAGCATCGGTGTCACGACTAATCAAGTACTCCGAACTTTCGTAAAATGTGCCTGGACTTTGAACATCTGGGACGGTTTTCTATGTTTGTAGGTGAACCAAGAGAGAACTGTACTGCCAAACACCCGCTGTCTGTTCTTGACCACTTTTTGTCTGTTTCGTCATCAGCAACACATTAGAGTTGAGTAAGTCGAGTTATGTGAATGTTTGGATGATCATCGAGTGACTAATGACTGCTTCTATTACACAGTATTGGTGCTCGACATCTGAGCTTATTTACCAGATGAATCGCCTGCTGAGGTGAACATTTATTCTCCGTCAACATAGGATCATTCGGGGTCAGGGTGTCTAAACCATGCGAACATCGTGCCATCGCAGACAGATGTTTTGTTTCTATATTAAACGTTCCGAAGCTTCTATGCAAAGTTCGTTCCATACACACACTGACGATCCAAAGGATTGACAGAGAATGATCAAGCTCTCTTATAGGCATTTTCGTCAACGTAGCACAAAAGCTGCACTAGCTTAAATCATGAAGTCATCTAGCTTTCATTACAATAGTAATATGATTCTCATTATTATTATTACTATTATTATTATTATGGCCTTAAAGCGAACATCAGTACTAACTGTGACACATGTCTTATCCATAATTCATGGTTGGCTTGCTGTTGTACTCATATCCCCTTGGTACGCTGGCAAGTTTCTTATCAACAGGAGTTTTATTGTTATTGAATAGTTTCTATCTTTAATTCGGGGACCTATTGCCAGCTGTACGCCGTAACGGCGCTTCGCTATCGCGCGGTCACCACCGGTCGCTCGTAGGCTGAGTATACCCAGGAGACGCCCGCCCCTGCGCGGATTCGTACCGGTTACCTTAGGATTGCAAGCCTGGCGTGCAGACCACTCGACCACTGGCCGACTTGGACCTAGGGAGTCTGCGTCCCACACCAAATTGTAGATTTCTAGCGGTTGTATGAACCGATGACGATCCTTACGATCCTCTAAACCAAGTTCCTTACCAGCTTTAATTGACCTCTTCATCCCTGCGACGCAGATTCTTTCCTGCACTGTTTACTGATAAAATCACTCTCACCAAAAGTCCGTAGATGGGTGATCTAATGAAGACCGATGCGGGCACTCATCTTCCAACCATCCATGTTGGCATGATATCGCTACTTGCATCGATCGATCGCCCGCTACTAATGAGCTTACCGAGCTCCCATGTTTACCATCTTACAAGTGTCTATGTAACCACTTTAGACGAATGGTTCCATGAGACTTGGTATCATACACTTCTTGGGAAAGCCTTTGCATGGAATATCTAACAATTTGGCTGTTTCTACCGCGGGGCTCAGTGAGTTCCCCGACAGCTGATCGAAAATAATATCAATTCAGTTGCCCATAGAACCCATTGTATGTTGCTGTCGGTCATCGATCGAAATTAGCGATTTCCGACGACTTTGACAAGTCGACTCGGGCCGGAATATAAAATCCATCGGTACTAGGTCGCTTTGGCCATCACTGATAATACTTGTAGCTCAGGGCGTTGTTGTTGGATTTGGGTTATTTTCCGAGCCATATCACTTAGTCGCTTCGTTCTCTCCTTCCATGCTCTGCACTTTCACAGACCGACATCTTTTATAGACATGTGTATTCTACACCCAGATTCCTGTTTCAAACTACGTAAAACATTTGAACCCAACAATTCGCATTCGCTTTTTCCGCGTACAGAATCTTCAAATCAGTTATACGAGGTTACGGGAACAATCGTTATGCGATTCCATGCAGGAGTCATCTCAGTTGACATCCTTCTCATAGGAATGTGGTCAGGCTTAGCAGCCTAAATTAAGACTGGCGAACAATTTCGTTTGTATACACACATAGGACGTTTCAGTCACCTTGTCGCCGTAACCACGACACGTTGAGCCATGTAGTGTTACTTGTTATATATCCCGAATGCTCCACGTTGCGCACTACACTCAACGAGTACCTGTTGAGCTTCGGATTATTTGCGGTCATATGTGTAGTTGGCTTATGCGAATACACGATATAGCCGAGTTGTTATCACTCAGCTAAAGTATTCATCCTTGACATTTCGATATCCTTGCGTGAAATTAGTAAAAACCGGATCCTGATTTTCAAGTCCACATTACGCATCGGTGTTGTTGCACTGGATACATCGTTGCGAGTTAGCATTGACTCAGTCCACACTGCACTATGCAAGCACCGGTTTGGACATCCTGACCCTATCCACATTGCACTTCTTTTGATGCATTGCGCTTCGTCTTCCGCTAGTGTCATCCGTTGGGCCTTTTTGTTTCCAGCCTTTTAGCGGCTAAATGTGACACATCGCAGTTCCCATGACCCCACGAGAACCGAGATTAATTCATTCTCACTACAGGCAAATTGTGGCCTCTACCGATTGGTCATATTTTTCGCTTTTCAACTGACCCATTTTGCGGTATCGAGATAAGCCATCACTTTACTACATGCTCGCGGGGGAGTTGATCTTCAATGCGACTTGACTTCCGCGGATAGTGTGAACACCATCATTCACAGATCCGTTTGGTTGTCCACGGTCCATATCCTTGCTTCTCTGTACTTTGTGTGTTTTCCTGCTAATTGAGCCTCATCGCCCCCACAAATCTCTTCACGCGGACAGGGATTCCTGTGGTTAGGCCATTTAGCTTCAGTGCGTCGGCCATATCTCTGGACTCAACTATCACGCTCCAATGGTTGCTAATGTAACAGTTGCTCTTACCGAGACCACACTTCAGAGTTTGTCGCGTTTGATCTACTAGTCCGTTTTATGCACACGCACACACCTTTTATATCCGTCTTTGCCTTGCAGCCTCGGAGCTCATGCGCTACAGTTGTGTTCTGCTTACCAGAATGTTCCTCACTTTCGGCGTCTCCTTGAATGGTTGCTTCACGAGGTGTTGGAGACGGAAGCAACGTCAAAATATCCCATTCCTGGTCAGTACTCTCCCTGTTTGTGCGCCGCTGTTGTTGCTTTTGTCACTTTACAGAACCACTCAGTTTATGATGTGATTGCGGATTCTTGGTTGTTATTCTTAGACTAACCTTGATTGTGATACAATGCGAGTATGCACGTTCTCAGCTCGTGTCGACTGCTTTGCCTCTGCTTTTTTCCATTCATCATCTCTCGGCACCTTGGTAGCACGCTCCACTCGCAGTGGCTAGTCGCGACGGTGCAGGAGTCACAAGCACGGTGAAGATTGTGGACCACTTGTTCTAATTCTCATCCAGTAAGCTTCGCTTAACCTGTGACATCTCACTCCCGATCCTCACCCCTAATAACTGTCGTTCTGTTGACACGCCGTCGTCTTTGAAATGCTTCCAGTCCATAATGCCATACACCGGAATTGACCCGGCAAACGTCGGAATGGGAATCTGTCGAACACGACTTATCTATACAGAGTAGAATGGGCGAATTGCCACTTCACGTCCCTTGTGATCCCCACACCTATTCTTCATCGAAATCAGCCAGTGGAGCACTTAAGTTCGTCGTCGAATATTGCTACTTCCTTATCATTTAGCCTTTGTGCAGTCCTGCCCAAGATTATATCTCATGACTTCGTGTAGCCGCAGTTGTACTTGCCATCCGAAATGCTCCCTGTGGTTTCACAGTTAGACCGGTTATTCATCCTCCCCCGTAAGGTTATCGCTTTCATTACTTTCGGTAATTGCTTTTCTGGCTTACAATGATGGGAACACGAGTGGACTGTTTGTATAATTTTTATTATTATCTACATCTTTGTTTTCTTCACAGACCCTCTCCTTCCCCAAGTGGTCGCGTTCATTCAGGAGTTCCCGTACTTTCTCGAAACAGTCGCCCAATGCGCTCGCAAAACGGAGGTAGCGCGATGGCCACACCTGTTCACCGCGGTGGGTCGGCGTCCGAAAGACTTGTTCGATCTGTGTCTAGATGAGAATAATCTACACGCCGCCACCGCTTATTTGATCATACTACAGTCGTCTGAGTCGGCCGCATTGAGTCAACGGGTAAGAATACCGTGCTCATGGTATTTTTTTCGCCCTTCAGCTCCAGGTATAAATCTCATGTGAATTTTCACCTCAAAATCCTCTAGAACTTGCTCTGTTAAGCAGGCATCTCTTATTTCTTTGGAATCTGCGACCACAATGTGTTATCTGTCACCCGACATATTGCTTGGCATACTACCCTCTGTATTTATGGGGAAATTTCGATCTACCTGTCAGTTTACCGTAAAAGCATTTGGAGTTATTATTATTATTTTATCATTATTGTTATTAAGGTGTTGACACGCAGTTTGGTTTCTTGTTTTTACTATTTTGCATTTTTCCCACATTACACATTACAATTTTTATCCATCGGCTATGTAATCTACATTTGGCTTCTGGACCGATGCTACGAGATGGCTAATCCCACGTACTTGTTCTTAGTATCATTACATTGTTCTTAACTTACCTGGCATCACCTCTCATAACAGCTTGACTTCTAAGTTGGGTTTTGGAGTACCCGCCGTGTGGGGTTGGATTGCGACTCGTAGCCTCTACTAGGACCTTTGTTTATTTAGAAGAAGACCGGTCAGTCCCGTTATAGGACCGTATCCGAAGTGGAGGGGTTTCGCCGTCGCTCGGTCCCAACAGTGCCCCTCACGATCAAGCCGTTAACCATTAGGTCCCGAGTTCCACACTCTGCTCCGGCTATCTTCACTTTGCGAGTCCAAAGGAGGACGAAACCGTTCGTCGAGTGTCCGTGTTAAGATTGAGCAACAGCATAATTTCTGCCTTTATAGGCGGGCGTTTTTAGTCACCAAGGTCGCGCCGCCCCGCTCTGATTGGCTATTCGAGGAAACCTGTCAACTCCTGCTGGTCGATCAAAAATTCACGGTCACAGGTAAGGTTTAATGGCCGTCAGATACGAGACATTTAGAATAGCGCAGAATTTTTGCGGATCTTGAACATCCTTTGTTCTTTTCCATTCTGTACTTACCAATACTATATCTTTTCCTTATTGGTTTCCTCCATAGTGCAATTGGATTGCTCCTACGAATCTGACTTGCATCCGTAAACCAATGGAACTTGCTTGTTAGCTCATTTGAATTGCATCCTCTGTTTGCGGCGCGCCATGCGCGCAGTGTCCTTGGAATTGAGCTAGCGCAGCTGAGCCAATAACGGTAGATGTAATAACCCTTTCCGAAATACGATTGCGGCAATTCTGTTACAAGGCAATTATGCACGGATTTGTTGCATCAGGTGTCGCTTACCGTCATGATAGACGCAGTACCTCAACTTAATAGTCCCTGAAGCAAATGAGAAACTGGGACGGGTCTGTCACCAGTTTGCATCAGCTGATCTATACGCACAAGCATACGTGGCTGGACATCCAGTTGCGCAGCCTATGGCTTAGGACGATCTACCAACGCCCGAGCTTGAAACAGGCATACGACCACACAAGTTCGGTGTGCTCGGATATCAAGACAGTCACAAATGTATGACTGCGAATAACCGGGGCCTATGGTTCCAAAATGCTATGATGTGCTTGCGACTAATGCGACAAAATGGGTCTGCGCAACTTGCCACTGAAATACGGTATGGAAGGCGGGTGCTATACTACGTGGAGTACAGCACTGCACTAAATATGATGCAGGCTAATGTGATAGCATCGGTTCTAATTTGCTGGTATGTACGCTATCGTATGAGACGGGAAATTGGATGACTCAGTGGCTTTCGAACTGCGGACTTGTGCAAGCGCGATTGCCATCCGGGTCGATACGCATTAATGACACAAGCAGACTGAAATTGTTAGTGGAGTTACGGTAAATAGCCCAACCGTTTGGTACATTCGACCCTAGATAGTACATAGTCACTACGCGTGACGAAATTGCTCATGGTAGTTCGCCGTCGGTTTTGACTACCTTTCTGACCACCCTGTTCTCCCGCAAATATGTTCCTTCCGAAATGCTCAACCTTTGGAAAACAAGCTACAGATTTGGTGAAAAGGAGACCAAACCAAACAAACTAGTCCATCGTCCATTTGACACGAAAGCTTCGTCAGGCCAAGTGAACTAGCAGATGATTGGTACCGCTTTTATGACAAGAAGGGATAATGATTGCGCTTATCAAGATGTCAGCAGGATGTTAATCACGTTACAGGTCAAAGTGTCATTTTAAGTGGCGCATTAGAGATGGTAAGATCCCAGGTGGTTCATTGTACGAGTTTATTACACGTAAGTCTCTGAGCTGCTTCACTCCCTGACATACGCTTTGCGTCTGTAAAATGTAGGTCGGTGTCTCGGAAACACTAACCACTTCATTGTCCTCTGCTTGTTGACGAGGAGAGGGGGATACACCATGCTGCACCTCCGGTTTTGGGAGGATTCTCCTTAGTTTTGCGCCTCCAATATCCAGGATGTCGTCTCGCATGGCAGTGCCGCTTGACCTCTTGAGAGCTGTATAGCTCAAGCACCGTGATGTCTTTGACCATCACTGTCTACGGTGCATTGCTTTTGTAGGATGGCACCAAACTGTCCGTGACGGTGAGGCGCGCAGGCCATTCCGTAATAACTTCGTTAGCTCAACTAACAAGTATAGATGAGTTGCGTTGTTTTTGCCACGTACTATGCATGCCCACTGATCGTTCTCTGTGATGTTTTATTTTCTCGCAGTTTACTTGCCCGTCGTTGAGCGGGGCAACCATCGATCTGACTGCTGGAACCTGTAGCTCTTGTTGCCACTTTTGTCGTTCGTTCGTTCATCTTCTATCTGACCCAGACTGTGATTGTCTGTACACCTTACCGAACGTTGCTTGTAGCCAGCACCAGTGCAGCGCTGACTCGTCTTCTTACTGATCTTCCAGTTTTAGGTGCGCACGGCGCTGCCTTGTCGGTGGGGAGTATTGTCGTTTGTGCCCCGTACGTGTGCAAACCCCAAAGTATCTGTCTACCTTAGCTCCTGCTAATGTACACACGACAGTCCGCTGTTTGTGACTGTTCCTTGTTAGACAGTTGCATGTCCAACTTGATCCCTAATGTTTTGTTCGCTGCATCTGGATTTTCCATCTCTTTCCATCTTCTTATTTCTCATTATGCTGGTCGTTTGTTGTTAGGTGACAGGGAGGCTTCATCACAAATGCTTTCATAGCCTCATTGATAATGATAACCGGGTCGACATATCACGCAGCAGGGAGAAGCAGAGCTTTCGGTCGCCGTCCTCCAATTCGCCGTTCACTTTGTCCTATAGTTGTCACAAAGACGCTTTGGTCCACATGATTTCTACTTATGCTTTGCTTACCCAGGAGTTGAGCGAGTGTGAACGACCCGTATATTCTCTGTGGTTGCATGGACCAATGCAATATTATCCCCATGTTTTGCTAACCGCCATACTCTATGGATCCAAGTTGAGCCATTCAGTCATGCACACATTTTGATTGCAATCTTCATCTCACTTATGTGAAGGTTGACTTTGACATGTTCATTCCCTCCACCCTATCACCACCGAGTGCATTGTATGCCTGGGATAACAATGGATTATTATTATTATCGATATATCACCATCACATTGTTAGCGGACGCAGTGTGTCACCGTCCTTTAAGCAGTACTATCGAAACACCTTTGCACCCGTATTAATGTTGTTCTCAGACTCACTGATCCTCTGTGGCTCTCAGGCGCATAGCTGGGGTTGCTTGTTCTTTGTGGTTTCGCATTTCTTCGGGGATTTTTGATTTGTATCTATAAGTCATCCTGACGCAATGATAACTAGGTACATTCAGCTTGCGTATTCCAACACACTTCCTTGTTTGGGATTTCGTTATGCGCGGACGAGTTTTTTGTAAGCGTATTTGGGGTGCACCACAACTGTAGCTGCATTGGAGTGGTTTTTTCATGATGCCGGATCTCATCTATCTCTTGTTTTCCACACAGGTGTCTATCTGACAATTGCTCTCTCCTCACTTTTTATCATTTTCCTGTCTCTGTGTTATCTCGTCCCCTCCCCCAGTGCACACTGCGTTTTCTCGACATTGCGATTGACATGTCTGAATGGGACCTAATTCGCGATCTGATCCGTTTCCTCAATGCCATCGGTGAGTAGATATCGTCGTGTGGTTTCCCACTCTCATCTGTGCGAAGGGATTTCATTCATACGTTTCAGACCTTTTTTGTCCAGTTTAAGATTTTGTCCAAAATTGCTCATTCTCTCCAGGGTAGGAACCTTAACTTAGTGTAGATACAAGGTACACCTTGGGCCCTGAATCCTATCGCAGTCTTTGTGAGCTCCCACCGCTGAAGTGCTCGACATCGTTATCAGATATACATTTTGCAGTTTCATCTGCCCGAAGCGACATTCACCGCGAACGATCTACAACCTACATCGAGCCTCTCTTACACATAAATATACGAAAATGCATTCAATACGTCCGTATATGTTAAAACGTACATAGTTGCAATACTGGAAACCGCGACTCTTGGAGCCAGCAAATCATTGCATTGCTCGTGACTTTATATATATGGTTGGCGGCATCCTGTTTCGGATTTGCCTGTCACTGTGACCAGCCACAAAACGCCTGCTCCTGTCGAGAGACCATGGGTGGTTTGCGCTGCACCACCCACAGCTCCATCCACCCACCCCATATCCAGTGTAAACCCGAGCAAATAAGACCGGGAAGCATGTGGATGGGGGCTACGTTTCATCAACGGAGCCGGCCGACACTCCTTCACAGGCAAAGACAAGCACGCTGTATTTGGGAATCAAGCGCACACAAGGCGGTGGCTGAACCGTAGTCCGCTCCACACTGACTGCATGGAACCACTCTTTGAACCTAGCACGGCCACAAGGACCGTGCACCTATCCCCTCCAGCAACGACCAACTGTCTCCTGGAGCCAGATGAACGATGTAGTGGGTAATAGACAGGTAGGCACCTTGTCAACATGCACGTAAAGCGCAGCCACACCGGGGATATCAAGCAACAGCCAATCACTTGAAACGACGAGATCAAATAAAATAAATCGAACATTGCATACAGATACGGTGACATAACACTTCAATAAATGTGCATATGAAATAAATTGGTTGCTGAAGAATCCGCTATAGGTTCGTGACATCAGAAAAAGATTTTTTAATGTCACAATCTCGAAAATATTATCAAAGTTAACTAATATTAACTTGAGCGACGCGTGCAAGTAAATAGAGGATAGTTCACGTAAGTAATAATGAGGCTAATCCGCCACCTGAAATAAAGAGACTTAGCATGCAAGCACGCGGTTAGTAAATCGAATGCAGCGTACCTACAAACACTGCGCCGGTTCTGCCTACGTTCTCTGCAGGACCCGTCGTCGCTTCGGTGGTGGCCTCGCTCATGGCTCACTAGGCCTGCCTGACTCAGGCACTCGCGACCGCATGTGCTACAGCACCATGCGCTTGATGTCGATGGAGTACAACCCATCGGCGCCTGTCACTTCCGCACTTGCCGCTTATTCTGCGCATGCATGAGGTCTTTCTCCTGCACCTCGGCAACTGCCTTCACGATCAGATGGCGCCATGCACGCCGATCAACCGCCTTCCATTCCCATGACCTGCAGTCAAGATTAGAACGTGAGATGTTCACTTTGATGATGTGCTGGTAACGAAGCTTCGGTTTCCTCACATGCCGCTTCCCAATACTCAGCTGATCATATAATAGCTGCTTCGGTATCCGCGTCGAATCCATACGGCCCACATGACTGAGCCACCTCAGGTGTTGCAGCAAAAGTATGCAGTCCACTTGGGCGCAACACTTCCTTGTCCGCAACTCTGTCGCACCAACCGTTGCGCAGAATCCGTCGCAAACACTGTTGATAGAACCGCTCTAGATATCGTGCATCCCGCCGGTACCTCGTCCAGGTTTCACGGCCGTATAGAAGAACGGATAGCACCATGGATTTGTACACCAACAGCTTCGTGCCAACGGTAAGCTAATGGTTTTTCCACATTCGGTATTTTAGCTTCCCGAATGCCGCGGCTGCCCTCAAGACGCGCATACGAAGCTCACTGTAAAGCTGCTGGCCAGTCGACACCACGCCCCCAACGTAGCAGAAGCGGGATGTGATTTCCAATACTTCGGCACGAATGCTGATTCGCGGCACCATTGCAGATTGCATCTCCGGTGAAGGCAGAAAGAGACAGACAGTTTTGTTTGTGTTTATGGGGAGGCTGAATTTGGCCGCTGTCGAAGGCAGAGCACTAGACACGTGTTGCAACTCATCCGCGTTGTGTGCAAACAACGCACAGTCGCCATCAAACAGCAACATACGGCTAGTTGTCTCACAAACTAGGGTTCTCGCGCCGAAACGACGGATGTTCAGCAACCCACCATCAATACAGTGCTCTACACGAACACGTAAGCAGAAGCGGCATCAAAAGCACAAGAGATCATTGCATAAAAATAAGTATTAAACAGGGCAGAAGCTAAGACACAGCCTTGCTTCACACCAGAGACAACTGCAAAGTCATCCGAGGTCTCTCCACTCAGCTGCACCCTCACTCGCATACCACTGTGCAGACATCCAATTAAACTTACAAACTTACGTGGGCAACCAAATTTACCCAACTCCAGCCACAATGCCTCGCGGTTCACCGGATCCAATGCCTTAGTGAAATCAACAAAACGCGAGCACAACGGCTGGTGTCGTTCTCTACAATGACGAGCCGCAAACACCATATCTATAGTGCTACGACCCGATGGGGAGCCACAGTGCTCTTCCGCCACATTCAGTTCCACAGTCTGACTGACGAGGCAGTTGAGCGGGATCCGGGAAATCACCTTGCCCACACAGCTCAGCAAGTTGATACCACGATAACTCGTACAGCATTGCTTGCTACCTTTGCCCCTGTACAGTGGTAGCACAAAGGCGTCCTTTAGCTCAGGTGGCACCTCCTCCTCAATCCACACGCGTTGCATCAAGTGGTGCAGCGAAGTCCCCAACGCGGGTCCGCCGTGTTTCGATACTTCAGGCGGGATCCCGTTGGAGCAAGCACACTTACTGTTTCACAGCTGAGCTAGTGCTCTCTGCGTCCCATCCAGTGGCGGTGTGTCCGCCAAACGCGCCTTCACATCGTGCTGCTTCAGGCAGTTCAGTGTAGGCCAGTCGATCTCTGAACGGTTGTCCAAGAAACAAAGTGTTTTCGCTAGATCTGCATTATGCATTCTGTGTGCAGGCAGCGCCTGGGCTACCATCAATCAGAGTCCTCAGCGGCTCCAACCTCGGTCCATACACCGCCTTCAAGGAGTCAAAGCATTCATTGTGTTGGCGGCGTTCAGCGTAGCCTTCCATTCGCTTCGACTTCTCCATCCACCATTCATTTTTAATGCGGCGGAGCTCTCAGGTGGATCGTCGTCGAATTCGCTCAAAATTTCTCCTTCCCCAAATCACTGGGATCTCCCACATGCGTCAGTCATGGCATTGTTCTCATCAAACCAATCAGGCCGCTTACAGTTTGCGCGCCCGATGGTCTCCTCTGAAGCAGCTGTCACCTGGTCGCGAAGATGGTGCCACAGGTTGCCCACTGGGGCTATACATTCTACATCACACAGGCGTACAGCCACCGCCTTCTCCAGTTCAATACGTTTCGCCACAGGACCAAGGGAGAGAATGTTAAATTTACGCCGATTCACGGCGCGAGTGCAATACATAGATATTCGAAAATATATGTACAGTTTGGTCCGCACCAATTTATGGTCATTACCACACTCAGCTCCACGCAGTACACGTATCATGCGCAGTTCACGCATATCACGCTGACGTACGATGACATAGTCGAGCAGATGAGCGTGACCACTCCGTGGGTACGTCCAAGTTTCTGTATCACTCGCGGTCATCGCAAACCGGGTATTCGTGATCGTCAGGCCGTGAGTGGCACACAGTGAGAGCAGCCTGTTACCGTTCGCATTCGCTGAACCAATGCCATGCGGATCGATGACATCTGTCCCCACCGGTGCATCACTCCCAACGCGCGCATTGAAATCACCCAGCAGAAGTAGTCGGTCGCTCCTCGGCACAGGCCGTATCATGGAGGATATCTGAGTGTAGAGTTGATCACGCTTGTCAGCAGGATAACGCATGCTTCTAAACGTGCTTATAAAAGTGGCAAACTTACCTCTCCCGAGTCGTAGGCGAACAGTCGTCAGTCGCGCGCTGAGGCCTGTTGGTTCAACCACCAGCTGACCATTTAGGCGATCGGATATTATAAATCCGACCCCATGTTCACGTGGTGCTGAGGCGGCGTTTCCCACCCAGTAAAACGTGTAGCCAGCACCTGCTTCATGCAACTCACCTTTCTCAGCGAGCCGAGTCTCACTGGGCGCCGCAATGTCGATGTTGTAGCGCACCAGTTCCATCGCGACCAGTGCAGGGCGTCGCTCGGGGCTTTCACTCGAGTTCCGGTCCAGTAGTATACACACGTTCCAGCACCCGATGCTGAGTGCTTTGCGCGCAGGCATACGATTGCATTGGTGGGCAATTACACGTGAGGTGTCAACATGAGGTACAGCTGTCATAAAAAGGAAACCGAACACAATATAGAAATGCATGGTTTCTTCAGAGGTCGAGATACTACCTGGTCGCCCAAGCCGAAGTAGGGTGTTGACTTAGGGGACACCACCCCGGGTCTTTGGCAAAGTAGCCTACCTGCAAGACAGCGGATCGAATTCAGAGAATCGCACCCATTGGGATCCGGTGACCGACTGCTCAGTTCTTACACTTTTCGTTTGGTCGGTTGACAAACAGGGGCCCAATCCTCCCCACAATTCGAGGATACAATGTTCCACCGGAGTGGAGCAAGGAACGGTGACTTTATTCCGTGGCGAGTCACATCCGCCACGTCGCAGTATGGTTAGGGGGAAATATGTGACTTTTTATAGGGCGAAAACCCACTACGTCCTGGAACACTACCGCCGAACTATTTACTGGGACGGGATAAACTCGAACCACCCAGCTGGCATGACGAGGAGATTGTTCGGTAAGCCAGCGGTTAAACCGTTAGCGCTGATGCCGCTTTCGAGTTAAACGTACTTGCCTAGCCCAAGAGAATGATATAAAAGGGTGGGT